CTGTATCTCTGGCGTTAACTTATGGTAGGACTTTTGAAATTTTCCTGATCCATGATATAAAGTGGCCTCTTGAAAATTTATGAATCCTGGGGCGCCTGGGTGGCGCAGTCGGTTAAGCGTCCGACTTCGGCTCAGGTCACGATCTCGCGGTCCGTGGGTTCGAGCCCCGCGTCGGGCTCTGGGCTGATGGCTCGGAGCCTGGAGCCTGTTTCCGATTCTGTGTCTCCCTCTCTCTCTGCCCCTCCCCCGTTCATGCTCTGTCTCTCTGTCTCAAAAATAAATAAACGTTAAAAAAAATTAAAAAAAAAAAGAAAATTTATGAATCTAATCTTTTATGTAGCCCATATTACACTATGTGCTGCATCCTAAGAGGGATGTAGAGATGAACAAAGTATGGCCCCTGCCTTTAAAGACTTTTCAAACTAGAAATAACCACATAAAGAACTATAATATAACACAACAGTGGCAAGTATCATTAACAGAAATAATGATAACATCTCTCAGGAGATCTGAGGACCAGTCACTTGAAACTGGAGTGGCCGAGTAAAACACTTTGGAGGAGATGGCACTTGACCTGGGCTTTAAAGAATGGACAGAATTTGGACAGAGGGAGGGCATTTCATTAGAAGGACTGGCATCTACACAGGAAAGTGCCAAGTCATGCTCAAGGGAAAGTAAATGGTGCCACACGGTAGCTGAAGCAGATGAAGTACCTGTAGAGGAACAGAGGGAAAAGATGAGGCTGGAAAAAGGAGGATGGAAATACAAGGTAAGGGCCCAAATGCCAGAAAAAGAAGCCATGATTCTATACTGTAGACAATGGGAGACCATGGAAAAAATAGGAGTCAAATGATCCAAGAAGTTCACTGTGGTTGCAGTATGGGAAGGGCACGCTGGCAAAGGAAGCTTAAACGTAATGAGAAGTCAGACTAATGCAACAGACCTAGCAAGAGGGAGAAAACAAGGGCCTAAATTAAACAGGACAGAAGAGGTTTCCTAGGCAGAACTGAACAATGTTAACTAATGGACTGCATGAAGGGGAACATGTATTTAAAAAAGGGAGGAATCTCAGAAAGTTATAGCCAAGAAGGCCCCCTGGAATCATCCAGTGGTTGATCCAGCGACTTTATTACCTTGTCACTTTTACATTTCTGGATCACAAACATTGTTCAACTGTTTTTAAATTATCAAACGATCAACTGCAAAGTGCTTTTTAATCAAACACTACAGATGGGCCTAACATGAAAAAAGCTGCCATCCGAAATCCCACTTTTATATTAATAGTTTCTGCTGTACCTTTCAGATATTCTCAATGCCATACTAGCCTGGGGGGGGGGGGCACTTAAAAACATTACATATAATGGGATCATAAATTCTACAATTTTCTTTTTCCGTTCAACAACATATATTAGAGATTTTCCCACATCTCCATATATAGATCTACCTTAGTTTTTCTAATAGCGGCACAGGGTGATATAGCAATGTAGCACAATTTATTTACGATTCCCTTTTAATGGGCATTCAGGTTGTTTCTAGTTTTTTGCTGTCACTTCTGTTACGACTATCCTTATACATACAGTACATTTTGAGTGCGAGCATACCTGCGTGTTCACTGCCTATGGATCAAATGATAACGCAAATTTAAAATGTTGATGGATCTTGCCAAAGTGCCAGGACAGGCCCTCTTAAGACGACAAACGTCGCCAACCTGTACGCGAATATTGCGGCGCCTCTTTCTCGGTGAGCAACCGCGCTTTCCCTCTCCAATTCCTATTTCAAGGATGAGGCAGTGAAGCGGGCACACCTCACAGGCTGGCCTTGAGCCCTGTGTCTGGCCTCCCGGCCCAGGGTCCTTTCCGCTAAAGTGTCAGCGAGTTTTAAGCCTCACCGCGACTGGGGAAAGCCGTCCCCTCCTCCCAGCCACCCTCGTCTCCTCGACCTCCATTGGGGTCGTCTCACCGATGGTTCTCGTTGAGCAGGGAGAAAAGCGGGCCGAGGCGCAGCTCCGCCGCTTGCTCGCGGAGCTCGCTGAGCGGCACGGTCTGCAGCACCGACTGAAGCGCGCGCAGCTCCTCCAGGGGCGCTTCCAGCCGCGACACCTCCCTCAGCAGCGCCAGCGCCTGGGCCGCCATCGTGCACCTCCAGCGGGGGCTCCCGCGGCGGCACACTCCAGGCTCGCGGCGCGCCTCTCCGAGCCTCGCGAGATCTGCGGGGCGCAGCCTCCCTTCCCGGGCTTTCGGCCGCCGCCGCCGCAGGCTGCCCCGGCCGCGCCAATAGCGATGTGGGGCCGGCGGGCAGCGCGAGCGCCTGGGGGGCCGCCAAGCCTCGCGAGACAGGGGCCGTCAAGGGCCGAGCCAACTGTTGCCGGTGGTTGCGGGGTCGCGGCGGGGCGTCATCGTGGACGCCGCTCGGTGGGTCCCGCAGGCTGACTTTCCGGTCGCCTTGCGTATTTCCCTTCCAGAGCGAAGGCGCGTCAAATGCCCGGCAAGCGGAGTGGTGACGATGAGGACCCACAGAAGCTTAAATGGCCTCGCGGGCGGCCTCTGGGCCCCAAAGCCACAGGCTGTCGGCTGCGGTGGGGGCGGCGGCCGAGGCCACCCCAGGCGGAGCCGAGGCGATTGGGCATATTGCTCCCTGGCCAGACACGAATCCAGAGGAGGTGGAGGGTCATACCTCTGGAAGACAAGATGAAAATTCGCGAGAAGCTGGAAGAAGGCGTGAGTAAAACCGACGTGGGGCGCCTGTTGGGCGTCAACGAATAGACCGTGCGCACCATTAGGAGAAACGCGAAGGCCATCAGGGCCGGCATGGAGACTGTGTCGCCTCTCCGCTCCAAGGTGCGGTGCATTCCCCGGCACGTAAACATCGAGAAGATGGAGATGGAGTTAGCCTTGTTGGGTGGAGGCCCAGACCATAGGGGGGCGGCCTCTGACGCTGAAGGCCGTCTGCAGCCAGGCCAAACGCATTTACAAGCAGCGGGTGGAAGACGAATGGGAAGGGCAGCCCGGATAAGTTTCATGGGAGCAAGGGATGGTTTGAGAAGTTTAGAAATCGCCACAGTCTGCGAAATTCGAGGTCGATGGGAGGGGAAGAAGCGCTGACTGCCCAGTCGGCATCCAAGTATGTCCAAACAACTCCAGAGGCTTATCAGAGCTATGTGCCTCAACGGGTCTTCGATGCCCAGGACATGAGCCAGTTTTTTGGCAGTGCATGCCTCCACGTACTTTTAGGGAAAGAGACAAAAATCCGGAAAGCTTAGAGGAAGCTAAGGACAGGATTTCCCTCATTTTTTGGTGCCAGTGCCGCCGGTGACCAAATGATAAAACCATTGCTGCTTTGTAAAGACCCTAATCCCACATGTCTTTTGGAAAAAGATAAAAACCGCCTTCTGTATTCTGGAGTTCACACCCCAAACCGCTGCCCTCTTTTTGGATTGGTTTCATAATTGTTTTATTCATCAGGCTGGGAGTTATTTAATAGAAAAAAAAAAAATCTTGAGTTCAGAGTGTTGCTAATTTTGGACAGAGGTCCCAATCGCCCAGACTCATTTTTGGTTGCTCATCTTAATGTTGATACTGTGTTTCTCCCCCTGGAAGGCACTAGCTGTCTTCAGCCCTTGGATCAGGGTATAACTGAAGCATTCAGGAGGTATTACACCAAGCGTATGTTTGACTGTATTGAAAAAAACCCTTGTCTTACTTTGAGAGGAACATGGCAACAGTACAACATTGCTGATGCTTTGGTAGTGATAAAAGAGTCAATGGATGATATAAGACCAGCTGCTCTTAATAAAGCCTGGTGGAAACTTTTGGATGATGTTGTGAATGATTATGCATGTTTCCCTAGAGCTAATGAAGAAGTTGCAAAAATCATGGAGTCTGCAACACGGATGGACTTTAACTTCATTGATATCGAACGGGGAAATTAATGAGGTGCTCAAGTTTCAAGCTTTGTTCATAACCGAAAGAGAGTCTATATCAATAAATATGGAAGAAGACAAGACCCTGGAACTAGAGGTAAAGATGAATCTAAGGAAACTGAATGCTTTCTTATGCCAGGCCTCAGACCTCATTGATGCTGCAAAGGATAGGGATCCTTTCCCGTATCGAAGTTTGGCCTTTCAAAAAGACTTCAATAAATTGTTATATACCTGTAAAGAGGTGCAAGAGAACCTTCAAAATAAAGCAAAGGAGTTGAACAAAGAAGACACAAAGAGGAGGTAGTGTGGGTGTAGAAGATGGATACAAAATCTGAGTCTGAAGGGGAGTCTGAATCTGAATCCCAAAAGGAGGAGAAGGTAGAGACAGAGAAAGAGGATAAGAAGCCTCCAGAAGAAGATCCTGGACCCTCAGGCATTGGCGCTGAGACTTACTGTATCTGAAGACTCTGCCAAAGCCATAGATGCAGAATTGGATTTTTGGAATCTAACCTTAGAATTGAATCTGGAGAGAGTAGAAGTGTCTGAGTTGAAGAAGTGAATCCAGAGGCGTTTTCTTCCAAATGATGACTCATGTCTTGCCATTCTTCCTCTCTTGTTCCAACATCACTTTCATCATGACCATGCTTATCATCAGCCACACATCTATATTGTTTCATCATTCCACAAACATTTACTGAGCATAAGCTATGTGGGGTCCCATGCTAAACTTGGGGACATGATCTCAGGAAGCCATCTCAGGATCTAAGGTAAATGGTCATTAACAGTGGCTACATTTCTTATTAATGTAATAGGCATAAAAGATCACAGTCTTGATTTATTTTTCTGGACTTTGGATATAACGGTTTTCTTAGGACCGCTCAGCTTTTTTTTCTCTAGCCCAGTTTTTCCACAGATGCTAAGTTCTTCAAACACAGATGGAGATTTTTTTTTTTTCTTTTAACATTTATTTATTTTTGAGAGAGTGAGAGCAGGGGAGGGGCAGAGAGAGAGGGAGACACAGAATCAGAAGCAGACTCCGGGCTCTCAGCTCTTGGCACAGAGCCCAACGTGGGGCTCGAACCCACAAACTATGAGATACCATGGCCTGAGCCAAAGTTTGGACACTTCACCTACTGAGCCACCCAGGCGCCCCGAAATTTTCTGAGTTAACCATAATAGTAAGTATGAGACTACTTGCTTTTGAAAAGCTGACATGCTCTTAGATTTTCTACAACACTCTCACATTAATTGTCTTTATTAATCCTCACTTTAGGCCTGTGAAGGATGTATTAGCCCTTCCTTTACCAAAAAGTCCACCAAAGCTCAGAGAGGCTATGTAATTTGCACGAGTCTTCACAGCTAAACATGTAAATGATAAGACTAGGGCTACAACTGATTTATTAACCACTTTGTCAGACACTGCTAGGAAGTATGGGTTTTTAAGAAGTTACAGTCCCAAGGAATGAGATAGTAAGCAGATAATTAAACACAAAGGCTGTGAACCGGCAGCCTGCGATCCATATTTGGCTAACAGATGAGTTGTTTGGTCTACCCAGTGTAAAACAATTTTGAATTGGTTTCCAGCATTTCCCTGGCTGTTTAAGGTACTGTTTACCTACAATAGAATTCACCAATATAACTGTGTAGTTGAGTTTTTTTTAACACTTGTGTAACCACTACCACAATCAAGATACAGAACAGTTCCCTTCACTTTAAGTTTACTTGTATCCTTGTGTAGTCAGCTCCTTCCCCTGCCCCAGAAATCTCATTTAAAAATTAAGATATTTTCACATTAAAAAGCTGGATTTAAAAGTTGCAAACCCTGGCAATGGAGAGAACTTCGAGAACTGCATTCTCAAAGGGCAGCAGTCAGTCATTAGCTTGCTGCTTTTCTTATTTGTTTGCAGCTCCCCAGGGTTGATATAAAATGCTGCCGCAGAAGTGTGTACAAAGTGCCTTAGGGAAATAGAGGGCAGTGGGATCAACCCTGGAAAAAGCTGCATGGAGCATCTGGCCTGGAAAGATGAAGTTCACAGGACTTCCCAGAAGAGCAGCTGGGAACAAATGTATTTTAAGCCAGGGAGAGTTAGAAGGGAGCTCCTGGGAGGAGGAGGTGCTGTGAGGGATAGGAAGGCAGCTGTGTGTGTGTGCGCACGCCTGTGTGCATGTGCTTCACTGGTTATTTTTGGCAGGATAGGCCCCTATAAAGTGGAAGAGTTTTGTGTAGGTGTATTCGTGTTTGTGTGCCATGGTTTCTGAAAGTTTTATAGATCTAAGAAACTTCCATCTTTTTATCTGTACATGTGATGTGGGGATTTTTATCATTTTTTGTTGTTACAATGGGGAGGGAAAATTATTATTTTTATTTTTGTAGGAGTTATAGGTCTGCATTTGGTGCGTGGGCTTTTTGTTTCTAGGAACAGAATCGCCTAGTGAGAATAATTACTCCCTCTTTCCCTGCCCCCTCACTATCTCCTTCTGGCCAGCCTGGCTGGGGCCTGGCTGAGCAGTGAGGCAGACAGCAGGTGGTGAGGGGATAGGGCATTTTAGGCCCTCAGTGCCCGCCCATCAGCTTGCAATTCAGCCTGAGGCCACAGTTCGCTACTGTGCTACTAAATTACCAGCGACGCCATGGACAGGCTGGGCTCCCGGTGTCCTCTGCCAGGCTACCTGCGGCCCTCTGTCCTTATATGCCTCCTGGTGAGTGCCCCATGCTACGACTCCATGAACTCTCTCACCCCTAAACCCCCAACCTGGGGATTGAGGGAAGAAACTGCATTTCTGTTTTCTGCTCCTGGGATTTTGAGCTGGGACCAGGCAGGTAGGAAGATCCCTGGAGACACTGCCTGGGTTCTGGAGATTGTAGCATGGTTCTGAAGATTTCCAGCAACCCTTCACTCCACACCTTGTGAGGACGAGTGCCTGGGCTGTGTTTCATGGCGAGAGTTGTCCGGGAGGTGAAGGGGTGTCGCTGGTGAGTTCTCCTGTGAGGGTCACAGGGTAGATTCTTTGCCTCTTTCTCTTGCAGTTACCATCTTGTTTTTCTGCATTTGGGGAAGAGTTTTGTTTTCTCATCTATGAAATATCGTAAAATGTTGAGGTTGGAAGTGCCTACAGAGTACTTCTGGTGGTGGTGGTTGAGCGGGAGGTGGAAAGAACTGTAGGAAAGGATCAGAAGCCTTGCTACTTCCCTTTTGGGTGATTTCTTCCCCTCTCTGGCTCTTCCATCCCCCTTCTGAAAAATTGGCACAAATCAGTGGCTCTTAACCTTTTTAGGACTGTAGATTTTTTTGATTTGTGTGTTTGTGAGAAAGTGTATATAGATAAACACAATGTAGCACTCAACTCCAGAGTATCTTAGATTCCTTAAAACTAGGTCGATTACAAGGTTAGAACCACTGGGTGGTTTCTGAGGCCTCTTCTCTTCTGTCTTAACACTGATTTTAAAGTCAATCATAACCTCTTAAAAGCTGTGTGAATATTCCAGGACAAAAAAGGAAAAAGGCAGAATGAAATATGAACTGAAAGGTTCATATTTTAAACAAATGTAAAGTTAGAAAAAGTGTATAGTAAAAGGTAAGTATGAAAATGTTATAAAGACTTTTAAAATTATAGTAGATCTTTTTCAGTTACAATGTTTTTATTAGGGAATTCTGTGATGTGTGTATTGCCCATCAATCTTACTTTCATAGAATGCCACCTTGTAATATATTGTGGTCCACCCTTGGTTCCAAACTGACTTTTCATGCTTCTGACACGTTTTTGGTAGGTCCACAAACATTTCTCAAATCTGTATCCCTGTCAAGGTTTGTAAAGTGCTGGGAACATAGAAATGAATGGGACTAAGGAGCTCATGCCCAATGGGGGAGACTTGTGCAGACAACTGTCTGTATTTCACTGTGATCAATGGAACAAGAGGATGTTAGCAGCAATCCTGGCCTCTACCTGCTAGATGCCATAGCATCTCCTTCCCAGTTATGACAGTCAAAATTGTCTCCAGACATTGTCAGATGTCCCCTGGGCGGGGGGGAATTGCCCCTAGTTGAGAACCACTGGAGTATGTGAAGCTGCCATGACCCCACTAGACCAATTCCTGGTCATTGCAGTTTCAAAGAGTCCACAGTGGGAGGAAGAGCCTTGGTTTCATGTCTTGGTTCTATCACAGAGTTCCTGTATGTTCTGTCTCAGTTACCTTGTGTGGTAAATGAAAGGTTATCTTAGATAATAGCTGAGGGCCCATTTACCTCTTACTCTTAGCATTTTGATTGTGAGTTCATATGAGAGTTTCCAACACGTTTTAGGGGAGTTTGTAGTTAATCCTGTTAGCTCTGTTTTCCGCTGATACCTGCTGGCTGAAATGTCCCACATCTTCCCCAGGAGTGGCTTTTTTGATTGGGGGGATAGCCCACTGCCCCTTTTGTTTAGAGTCTGCTCTGGAAGCCACTTCAGAGTCGTGTAGTTGATACCTTGCATGTTCCAGTATGTTCAGTTCTCTGCTCAAAGCAGCAGTGGGTGACTCCAGAGCCCTTTCTACTTCACAAGGCTATTCAGTCTTAATAACCACACATTACTGGTATATTAATTCACTAGTTTACAAATATTAACCTGCTGTGGCCATCAACTTTTCTGGGGATACAGTGATGAGCAAAGCACGCTCCCTTCCTCGACTGAACTCGTGATTACAAAGTAGTTTCTCTAGCTGGTTTGAACCCATGACAACTCTGAAGTAGGCAGCACAAGTGTCAGGATCTCCATTTTCTAGATAACATTTATAGAAGGGAGAGGAAGTAACTTGTTGAAGGCCACAGACAGTTAGCAGTAGTGGCAATAGGATTTAAATCCTGCTTTCTAGTGCCTTAATTTTTTTCTTATACTCTAATTGGGTTGTCATTAAAAAACGCACACATGCAATAAAAGCTTCATTGCACCGCCTGGTTCTTTTGTTCTTGCACGGTCACTGGTTTAGTTCAGAGGACTGGTATTTTGAATTGAGGTGTCGGTGGAGGTGGTAGGAGGGAATGAGAAACCCAACCCAGACAGGCCTCTAGTCAAACTGGAGCTCAGAACATAAAAACGCTGCTCAGGCCCTGCCAAGAAGTAGGAGCCAGGCCCCAGGCAATAATGTGGAAGGAGAGTGGGAGAACAGAGGCTTGTTTGAGTGAGGCCTGAGCCCTGGGCTGGGAGGCAGGAGAAGCGCGTTCCTGTTCAGCCTTGCCTGAGTCACACTGTGGCCCCTCCAAGTTGCCTCCATCCTCTTAATGGCTCTGTGGTATCCCCCAAGCAGAGAGCCCTGGATTGGAGACTGTTCATCAGTTGTTTCCAGTTCCTCTTATTTTAAAGTTTATCATTAAAATAGGATTATTCAGTCTTGAGTGTCTTTTGCTCTCACATTGTCACTGCCATCTTCTTTGCTCAAGTTGTTAAGGTCTGTTTCCTAGAACACTGTAGTGGCCTTTTAAATAGACTGCCTTCTGGTCCCTCCTCTCTCTTCTGTTACTTTACTCAGCTTGACCATGTTTATTACTCTCCTGCCTAAAAACCTACGAAAGCACCCTGTCACATGAGTGTAAACCCCAGACTCCTCTGTCTGACCCTTGTCTTTGTAAGTCTTGCCGGTCTTTCTTCCTCCTGATCTCATACCTGCAAACTAGATATCTGTCCCTAAATACCTCTCGACTTTTTATATATTGTCATTTGCTAAGAGTACCTCCCTTTCCTCTTGTAAACCTATTTATTGCTTCAGATCCAGCTTAGACGGTGCCTTCTCTTCAAAGGCTTTTCTGCTCCCTCAGGTACAGCCTTCCTCCAGGTCCCACCACCTCTCAGTTACAATAACACAGGTCACATTACTTTGAATTAGGCTACCTTTTCCACTGGACTACCCACAGTGCCTGCACATATACAAATGAATGGAGGTGAAATTAACTCCCTAAACATCAGCAGATGTAAGAGCTTATCATTACTAATAATCCCCATGGGATGATAGCAGTTCAGTGGTTGCCAGTTGGCTTTACCTCCAGTAGTAGCTCTGTCAATAAGAATGGGTTTCTGCTCATCCAGACTTGATTCCTAATCCTGGCTTCAGCAGTTAAAAAAGCTACGTGAGGGGCACCTGGGTGGCTCAGTCGGTTAAGCGGCCGACTTCAGCTCAGGTCATGATCTCGCGGTCCGTGAGTTCGAGCCCCGCGTCGGGCTCTGTGCCGACAGCTCAGAGCCTGGAGCCTGCTTCGGATTCTGACCCTCCCCCATTCATGCTCTGTCTCTCTCTGTCTCAAAAATAAATAAACGTTAAGAAAAAAAAAGCTACGTGATCTTGATTTCTTTATCATTTTTTTATCACCTGCAAAATGCAAATTTTTAGGCATGAAATATTTAGGCATGAAAATAGGAAAATATTTAGGCATGAAAACTTTGTTTAAGCACCAGAGCTCCATACAGATACCAGGAATTACTTTGTGGATGGGGAATGGGGATGAAAAAATGATGCTTAGTCTTGGTTCCAATGTGCTTGAGCCGGCAGATAGCGAAGTGGCCGTGTCACTGCTGACCTGTGTTTTTCTTTCCCCACCATGTAGATCCTGGCAGCTTCTTTCCTGTCCTATCCAGTGCTCAGGACCCTTAGCCTGCAGCTCCATTCAGCTATCACCGGCAGCTACGTATCCGGCACTTACTCCATCGTCTTTGTCAACTGTCCCAACGAGCAGATTGCCAGAGATATTGCCAGGTCTCGTGAAGAGGCTCGGGTGCTGTCCCAGGAGGCTGGGGGAGCTACCGGGATGCTCCACGGTGGCCACTTTGGGCTCCCTCTCTTGCTTCTGACAACCCTGTGTGTCCACTACGCAGCTGTCAGCTTGGGGTGATAAGAGGACCACGGCTGAATGAGCCCCCCCCCCCAACCCCCATGGATCCTGCTCCTGGGCCTGAAAATGTTGAGTGGCACATGGGAGCATTTAAGGGATATGAGGTGTAGAGAGTCAGGTGGCTTGCCCAGGGCGTTAAAGTCAGAGGATGGGGGGACTTTGCAGGTTGAGAATTTTTGTCTTACAATTCTTGACTCTGCTGTCTTCTTGGAGATATTCTCCTAGCTTAGTATCAGAGGTGCTCGCCATGACAAGTGAGGGCGAGGAGGCTGTTCAAATACTTGGCAATTTTCTAAAGGCAGCTATGGTGTGGTGCGAAGAGCACTGGACTTAGAATCAAACGCTCAGGATTTGAATGTTGGCTGTGCCACTTAGCTACCTGTGTGATCTTGGGCAAGTTGTTTTCTTTCTCAAAGCGTTAGATTTCTCAGTATAACATAACATCATGCCACTTACCTCACAGGGCTGTCGTGAGGATTAAAGGAGAGGAAATATGTGCAATTCTTACCCCACTAACTTGGATGTAATAGGTACTCATTAAATGTTTGTTGACTATGAATCCCCCCCCACCCCCCGTACTCTTTTTTATAGATACAGCTTTGAAGAGGGTTAGTGGATCTAGAGGGTAATGAATTTGGCTTTTTACTTTGTAGCTCAGCATTCTTGAAGTCTGATGATAGACTAAGTTACAGTCTTTTAAAATGTTGAATCTGGTCTTTGGGGACACAAAGCCCCCCAAATTGTTGGTCACAGATTAACCTTGCAATTTATTCAATTCTCTTTCCCCCAACTAGAATGTCTATTTTTCCTTCATTAATGTTACCTTTGGAGAATAGCCTTGTCTAAAGTTTTTCTTTTTTTTTTTTTTAATATTTGTTTTTGAGAGAGAGAGAGAGAGAGAGAGAGAGAGAGGGGGCAGGGCAGAGAGAGAGAAGAGACAGAGGATCTGGAACAGGCTCTGTGCTGACAGCAGAGAGCCCAGTGTGGGGCTCCAGCTCAGGAACTGTGAGATCATGACCTGAGCCAAAGTTGGATGCTCAACCAACTGAGCCATCCAGGTGCCCTGAGAATAGCACTTGTCTAAAAGAACCTGTGATTACTCCAGAAATACAACCATAATATTTAGCAGCTAGAAACTGAAATCCTTTCCGATGCTTCTGGTATGCCCAGGGTCTGTGCTAAACTGTCTCGACCCCTGGATCAGCCAGTCTGGGTCCTGTCAGAGAACTATCAGCTGACATCTGTGAGGTGGGGTGTTGGGAGGAAAAGGATTCTAACACCTGGGTCCTAACTAGTTGGAAGTCCAGCTCAGTAAATGTATCAGTGTCAGCTTGGGGAGGGGTCTCTATTGCCTTCTTGCCTCCGGGGTTCTGATGAGAAGTCAGGTGTTTATTGGGGTCTTGTTCCTTTGTAGATAATACTTTTTCTCTCTGATAGTTTTTAGGAGTTTCTATGTTTTAAAAAAATTTTTTTTAAATGTTTTATTTATTTTTGAGACAGAGAGCATGAGCAGGGGAGGGGCACAGAGAGAGGGAGACAGAATCCAAAGCAGTCTCCAGGCACCGAGCTGTCAGCACAGAACCCAACGCGGGGCTCGAACTCACAAACTGCGAGATCATGACCTGAGCCAAAGTTGGACGCCCAACCGACTGAGCCACCCAGGCGCCCCATGGAGTTTCTATCTTTTTAAAATTGTACTCTAGAGAGAGAGCGTGCGATCAGGAGAGAGGAGCAGAGGGAGGGAGGGAGAGAGACCGAGAGAGAGAGAGAGAGAGAGAGAGAGAGAGAGAATATCTCAAGCAGCTCCATGCTCAGCATGGAGCCTGACACGGGGCTCAGTCCCACGACCCTGGGATCATGACCTGAGCTGAAATCAAGGGTCAGATGCTCAACCAACTGAGCCACCCAGGTATCCCTCTTTTTTTTTTTTTTTTTTTTTTTTTAATTAGGAGTTTCTATCTTAATGTTCAACTGTTGGTTTGGTAAATATTCTCTTTTTATTCTTTCTCTGTCCTTTTCCTGTAACTCCTAGTTAGGTACATGTTGAATTTGCTCTCTCTGACTGAACTTTTATATTTTTCTGTTTCTTTATTCTATGTACTAGGAGAATTTTGGAGCAGTGTCCTCTCTTATTTGTTTTTCAGCTGTTTTGCTATTCAGCCCTTCTATTGATTATTTTGTTTAAACGTTTACAGTTTTTTTTAAATTTTTAAAAATTTATATCCAAATTAGTTAGCATATAGTGCAACAGTGATTTCAGGAGTAGATTCCTTAATGTCCCTTGCCCATTTAGCCCATCCCCCCTCCCACAACCCCTCCAGTAACCCTCTGTTTGTTTTCCATATTTATGAGTCTCCTATGTTTTGTCCCCTTCCCTGAGGAGGACATTTTTGTTTCCCTTCTCTTATGTTCATCTGTTTTGTCTCTTAAAGTCATCATATGAGTGAAGTCATATGATTTTTGTCTTTGACTAATTTCACTTTGCATAATACCCTTCAGTTCCATCCACGTAGTTGCAAATGGCAACATTTCATTCTTTTTGATCACTGAGTAATGCTTCATTATATATATATATACCACATCTTCTTTATCCATTCATCCATCGATGGACATTTGGGCGCTTTCCATACTTGGCTATTGTTGATAGTGCTGCTATAAACATTGGGGCGCATGTGCCCCTTCGAAACAGCATCCCTGTGTCCCTTGGATAAATACCTAGTAGTGCAATTGCTGGGTCGTAGGGTAGTTCTATTTTTAGTTTTTTGAGCAACCTGCATCTGTTTTCCAGAGTGGCTGCACCAGCTTGCATTCCCATAGAGTTTTTTTTTTTAAATAGTTTAACCACCTGCTCTTCTTTCATAATTGCCTGATCATATTTTATGGATGCAGTAACCTTGCTTTGTCTTTTATGGATATTAATTATACTTAATTTGTGTTTAATTTTTTTCAGCCTTCTTGACATACAATTGACATACACAACATTGTTAAATTTAAGGACCACGTGATACTTAATGTAAATATACAACACTAAACAATTACCCCAGTAAGGTTAGTTAGCACATTCATTACCTTCCCTAGTTCTCTTGCGTGTGGGTGTGTGTGGTGAAAACTTTGAAGATTTGCTCTCAGCAACTTTCAAGTGTACACAGTTCTACTTATTTTAAAATCTTGGCTTTGAATGTCCTGTTAACTGGTTCTCTGGTGTAAATTCTTCTGTTTGTTGAGTTTTTGTCTCTCTTGGTTACTGACCTTCCTCAGTTACCTTGTGATTAATTGTGACCTCTCTCATCTTTTTAGTCGTGCTTGTGGGGAAGTGCAGAATGGCTGCAAGGACACGCAGCGCTGTCTCCAGTGTGAGTGCGCACTGGGGGGACGTTCACCTGGCCGGGGTGTCCTACTGACTGGGTTCTGGCACACTTTCCGCTCCTGCCTGGGGACAGACACTCCATTACTGCTGCCTGGGCCCTGGGAGATTTTGGGGGTCCGCCTCTGCTGTGGCGTCCCAGCTACCCACCTTGGTGGTTGCCTCCGCGTTCCTGCCTGCTCTGGTTCCCGTCCCCTTCAGATGGGGACTGTTGCTCTCATCTCCCGTGGCAGCTCCCCTGCACACTCCCATTCGTGTCTCAGGACTGCCCTTTCTTCTTTGGGGCTTCCCCACAGTCGTTGGTACGTAGCGCGTTCTTACCGTGTGCTGGCATGGCTGAGCAACAGGTATTTCCTGTCACTTCTAGGCTTTGGTGTCAAAGGGGAGGATGGAGTATCTGTCTAGTCTGTCCGGTCGGACTGGAAGTCTCAAGTGGAGCCTTTAGGGATGTGGCCGTGGAGCTCTCACTCAACCTATTTTGTTTGGTATTTTTTATTAGTGGTTTGGATAGAAAAGAGGCAGCCAGGTGTAGTTTCCAGGCTTTGTAGAAGCAGAGTAGATGGTACGTGATGGGGAGGGCCCGTCACCAGGAGCAGGCAGGAAGCCCAGCCTGAGCTACAGAACCAGCAGCGAGACCGCGTCTCTCAGCTTCAGTTGGTGTGGTGGTCTTTCTTCTTTCGCGTTCTTTAAAGTTTAGTCTGCTGCCTCTCAGTTCTGGGTCAGTTCAGTTCTGGTTCTTGGCAGTGTTCTTAGATCTCTTCACTGACAGACACGTTCTTAGCTAGAAAAGTGATCTAGAAACATCTCTCGTTGGGGCCGGAGTATAAATCCTGAATGTTGAACTGGGAGACCTGGATTCTAGTGTCCTCTCTGCTTCCCACTCCACATACAGCCTTACACAAGTCATCTTCTCTGGGCTTCGACCTCCTGTAGATAAGAGGGAAGTGGATCAGATCGGGGGCGCAAACACAAATACCCACAAGCAGGCCCCTAAATGAGCAAAGTGGGCTGGGGTGTGATGAGGGACGGCGATGGTAGATAGCAGCCCTGACTCTTCTGCACACTGGGAGGAAGGAGGGCAGTGGGAATGTGTGGACCTGAGAAGTGGATGTCACCTCGAGGGAATAGCCACTGCTCAGCTCTAAGTAAATGTGACCTTGGAGGACAGTATGTCCAATGTTACAAGACTCACTTTCTGGTGAGAAACAAGGTAATCTATTTTTTTTGATGTTTATTTTTGAGAGAGAGAGAGAGATAATGCACACGCATACACACACAGCAGGGGAGGGACAAAGCGAGAGGGGGACAGAGGATCCGAAGCAGGCCTGTGCTGATAGAGTGAGCCGGATGCAGGGCTCGAACCCATGAAACCATGAGATCATGACCTGAGCCAAAGTCGAACGCTTAACCGAATGAGCCACCCAGATGCCCTGATAATCTCTTACTTTTTGAGTGTGAAATATCCTGATAGTAAATATTAGTAACAAAACCAAGAATTTTTAAAATGCCACAAGAGCCAGACCACGTATGTGGTTTGTGATTCACTAGTCTGTGAATTTGGCAGTTTCTCGAGGCTCTACGCGTCTCTATCTTCTGCTGTCCTTGGATGAGCGTGAGGACCTCAGCTGCCACCTGTGACTCGCTGCTTGTCTTGGTGTGTGTGTGTTAATCAGTCAGCTAATGTTCTCTCTTGCTCTCACACTCTCTGGTTTTGGTTTTTGGCCACAGGGGCTTTTTGAATAACATAGCCCTCCACGTTTCTAGTCTTTTACCCATGGACAGGTTGCCGTGACAGTCTCTGAGGAGCTCACCTTCTGGGCCTATGAGACAATGGAATTATTTTTTTTTTAAGGTTTAATTCACCCCCTGTGTTTCCTTGCCACAGTCAGGACCAATAAAATGTACTTTCTCAGCAGACGATTGAGTGAGCAAGCCTTGCAGCAGGTGCTTAAACAGATTTGTGCCATGTGTCTCTCCTTACAGTCAGGGATTTATTTATCTCTGGAACTTTCCAAGGGACTGTCACAAAATGTGGAGCCTTAAATAGAGCCACGTTCAGCCTGGAACTCACGGAAGAGAAAGTAGGTCAGTTCTCTTGGCAACAGCTGAGGGCAGGAGGTATCAGTGAGCAGGGCTCAGGGTCCAAGCACTTCGGAGAATAGATCAGGCCCCCTTGGCTGCCTGAGACCTGAGAAATGTTTGTCAAGGCCTGCCTGATTTGAGGGCTTGAGGTTTTGATGTCTGAGAACGCCTCTTTGCGTTGATGACTTGCCGGTGCTCCTGTTTCCGTGACACCTGTACTAATTCAAGTGCATTTGATTGTGTTCATCAGGGTTCTGCATAGGAATCAGACTATCAGACCAGGGATTCCAACCTATGATCTGTCAAAAAACAAAAAAATCTTACAGGTCTGCAAAGGTGATGATTGTGCTTTGAGGCCTGTGGTTTCTAAACCTTTACATAAATTAAGAGGTGAAAAGAAGTATGATGGGTTTTTGCTTTTATTTGGAGTTGTATCTGATCTGTGTGGTCACGTGGGTATCTACAGATCAGAAGCAGTGTCAGCCGGATACCTATCAGACAAAAGCAGAAGATGGTGATAGAATAAAATGGGTTCTTGACTGAAAGGTTTGGAAACCGCTGACTGAACCTATCCTGTTACTGTAACTATACAGCAGGAGAGGCAGCCTGAGTCAGGGGGACATGCCTGTCTTGGACAGATGCTCGAATACTTACTCTTGGAATGAAAGAATGTGGTTAAAGTCACACAACCATCCACTGCAGGGTCAGGAACAGAATCCAGGTGTTGTGCTCTGTCCAGTGTTAATCTGTTCCCCTTCCCCTGGGCCTGTCCTTAAAACTGCCTTCCCATAGCTGTTTCTCTACCTTCCTCCCCATCCAGGGGAGGACTTATAAATAGCACTGTCTTTAGAAGTTCTGTGCCTGGTGGTTATGGAATGTGTTGGTTTGAGGAGGAAGGGGCCTTCTAAATGGTTATCTACGTAAACTCTGGTTTCCTGGGCAATTCCCAGGAACTCCTGTCCCTTGTCCCTTTTCTTAAGACGCTGGGTACTTACCTTGGTGATGGTCTCTCTTTCTCTCTCTCTCTCTCTCTCTCTCTCTCTCTCTGTCTGCTTTAGGGCTATACTGGATAAGAAGCTGGCTGCCTCTGTGAACATCCTGCCCAAGGCATCCTCACTGTGAGTTTTGCTGTGGCCTGTGGAAGAGTGTGGGAGTGCGAGGTCAGGTACTGGCTGGTGGGAAGGACAACGAACTAATGGGAAATTGTCAAAGAACAACTCAAAGGCATTTGATTAACGAACAGTTCATTGTTAATTTATATTCAGAGGAAATCACCTAGTGGATTTATGTCAACCAATAAAAGCAAAAATAGGCTATGTAAACAGAAGGGTGGAAAAAAATTGTAGTTTAGGAACAATGAATCTTGTTTGCACATTCTTTGTTTAAATTTTTTTTTTTAAGTTTATCTTGAGAGAGAGAGACAGAGACAGAGACAGAGACCAAACACATGAGCGGCTGAGGGCCAGAGACAGGGAGAGAGTGAGAATCCCAAGCAGGCTCTACACTGTCAGCACTGCCCCAGCTCGGGGCTCAAACCCATGAACCATGAGATCATGACCTGAGCTGAAGTCAAGAGCTGGATGCTTAACCAACATTCTTTGTTTAAATTAGTTAGCTTGTTATTAGCAAAGAAGTCAGACTGGGGGTACTTGAGTGGCCCAGTCAGGTTAAGCGTCTGACTTCAGCTCAGGTCATGATCTCACAGCCTATGGGTTCGAGCCCCACGTCAGGCTCTGTGCTGAGAGCTCAGAGCCTGGAGCCTGCTTTGGATTCTGTGTCTTCCTCTCTCTCTGCTCATTCTCATTCTCTCTCTCTCTAAAATAAATAAACATTAAAAAAAAAAAGTCAGACCAGACATTCCATCCCTGAGTAAGCCTATTAAGATATCAAGGAAAATAATTCCTGTCCCTTTTGAATTCTGTGGGAAACTCAGAGGTTAGCTTATGTGACAAGCTGCTTCTTTGTAGTGTCTGCTTCTCATTTTGTTAACTCCCTCACAGGAGTTAATCCTGGTTGTACCGTTTCCCTTATCAAAATATCTCAGCCTCTCAGTACTAGCTGTGCAAGATTTGTCTTATGCCTTGATATCTCTGATCAGCCTGTTTCTCATCTCCTTCCTCCCCTGGTGGGGGAGGGGGAGAGAGAGAGAGAGAAATAGTGTCTACTCTGAAGGTCAGAGCAGGAAAGTGCTGTGTTATGAAAGCCCCCTCCACACCTCCAGCAACGCCCTCCCCTCAGTGGCTCACATCTGTCTGTAGCTGTAGCTCCCAAGTGTGGCTGTGGGTTTTTTTAATTTTTTATCTTTATTTATTTTTGAGAGAAAGAGACAGAGTGCAAGCAGGGGAGGGACACAGAGAGAGGGAGGCACAGAATCTGAAGCAGGCTCCAGCTCTGAGCTGTCAGCACAGCCAAATGTGGCTGTGTTTTAGAGGCCTGAGCTCCATTCTGGAGCTGCTACTCAGTCATTCTCCCTGGGGGTTGGGCCTGGCTCACTGAATTTTAAAAAAATTATGTAAGTGATTCACATAAAGCCAGTGCTTGGGAACTAGAACAGCATTTCAGCCTGGCATTCCCTTCATACGTCCATCCTTTTTATAATCAATCCCTTCACACAGTGCCGATGGCCTAGGTCATCTTGGGCTTGCCCTGGGTCAGTGTAGATATTCTCAGGCCAAATTTCTTTCCCTGCCAGTGATGCTGTTTTTGTGTTCTTTTCTCAACATCGTTATTGACTTTTTTTTTTTTTTTTTTAACTTTTGGGCCTGTTTCTTTCCATATGTTATAAAGCTCACTTTTTCCCTGAAGCCTCCTGTGTTTTTTTAGTTCTCCATTTGTGGGTTCTCCACTTAAAGAGTCAGTAATAAAAGTAGCAGTCCAAAGGATGGGAGGGGCCTGGAAGTCATGACTATAGGATGAGCACAGAAAGAGCTGGAAATGCCCAATTTGGAGGAGAGAAAACAGGAGTTTCTGTAGGGCTGTCCTGAGGTGGCTCTTCATGTGGAAGTTAGGGAAAACAACTGGGTGGCAGATGTTGGCATACCGGAAGGAAAACCATCTCAGGTGAAAGCCTGTAAGGAAGATCGATGGACTTCTTCAAGAGATAGAATGTTCAGACAGCTACTAGAAGCATGCATTAGAATGATTGGACTCGATGACCTCTGGGGACTTGGCCAATTATAGACATTTTTGTGTGGGGTTGGAAGGATTTTAAAGTCTCCGCCTTGGTAAGCCACCTAATTGGGCCAGGTTTGGTATCTCCTGGACTCTTCTTGTGAGCATCATAATTTGGTTTTGTTCTCTTCTCCAGGTACTTTTGGAATGGAGAAATAGAAGAAGCCACTGAAATCCTGTTGGTGAGTGAGGATGGGGGGGTGGGGGGGGTTGGGGCCTCGATGGAGAGTGAGACCAAGGTTCCAATTAAAAATGAGCAAAGATGGGGCGTCTGGGTGGCGCAGTCGGTTAAGCGTCCGACTTCAGCCAGGTCACGATCTCGCAGTCCGTGAGTTCGAGCCCCGCGTCGGTCTCTGGGCTGATGGCTCAGAGCCTGGAGCCTGTTTCCGATTCTGTGTCTCCCTCTCTCTCTGCCCCTCCCCCGTTCATGCTCTGTCTCTCTCTGTCCCAAAAATAAATAAACGTTGAAAAAAAAAATTTTTTTTTAAATGAGCAAAGATCAACTGCTTGAGGTTCTTGCCTCACATCAGGTGCCCTAGGTTAATCTGCAAATGCAACGGTGCCCGGTGACCTGGATGAATGCTGTCTCCAAAATGGCCAGATGAACGAGTAGCTGCATGGCTGGGGCCAAGGTCCTTCCTAAAGCAGGGATTTTTTTTTTCTTTTACAGCTAATAAAGACAAAGACTTCCAAGGTCCGCATGCTGTTCAGCTATATCAGGTAATGCTGGTGTGTCTTTTCAGCCAGGGATGTCCTGGGAACTAAGTGAATGAGCTTGAAAAGCAAGAGACCTAGAGCCTAGTCACCAACCTCTCATATGACCCTGGGCATGTCCCTGTCCCTCAGATTCTCCAGCTATAAAATGAGAGGCTAGAGTGAGTGAATGGAGACAGTAGTTCTCAAGATTTTGGTCTTTGGATCCCAGGGGAGCTTAAGGTTATATTAAAGTTTATTGCATTAGAAAGTAAAACTACGAAATTAAAAAAATGTTTTAGTTCATTTAAAATAATAACAATACAACTGTTCTATATAAACATAAGTAATACATTTTTATGGGAAGTAACCATATATTCCAAGAAACAAAGTGAGAAAAATGGCATCATTTTATATTTTGGCAACATCTGGCTTGTTGAGAAGGCTGCGTTTCCTCAGAAAACATACTCCCTCTTAAGTACTGGGACACTTTTACGCTCATGATGATAAACTCAAACTTTCAAACTTCTAATTTTTGCTTGAAAACATGAATTTTTTTTCCTCAACAAATGGTATCAGTTGTCTTCATTTGAGTGATCGGCTCACTTTGTTCACATTAGAGAAAAACGTCTGCCTAATGCTCAAACCACAGTAACCAGCATTTGTAAACATGACAGACAAATTATGGTCACTCAGGCTTGAAATTAAAAATGGTGTTCCATGAAAAAAAGTGCAGTTTGTTTAGTTTGGCTTGTGGCTTCAATGGGCAGACAGGTTTAAGACAACATTGAACTTCAGTATCCGGCAGAAGTGCTTTAATGTGCACTTTCCATTTCGTCATTAATGAGACAGGGACTCCAGGGCTGAAGTGCAATAGCAAGCAATAGCGATCTTCGCTGTTTTATTGAGGATGTTCTTGAGTGAACGTGACTTTTCTGAAGCCCGAGCGTGCGGTGGAGAAGAGCACCGTGAGGCTCATACACTGTGGTGCCACTGCCTTGCCGCGTGCTGAGGTGCCAGCAGTCTTACTCGGCATTGTTTTGCACCAGCAAGCAGTGCAGGGGTCAACACAGTAAGAAGATTAATAGAAAATTAGTATTTTTCGGGGCGCCTGCGTGGCTCCGTTGGTTAAGCGGCCGACTTCGGTTCAGGCCATGATCTCGCGGTTCGTGGGTTCGAGCCCTGCATCCCACTCCGTGCTGACAGCTCTGAGCCTGGAGCCTGCTTCATATTCTGTGTCTCCCTCTATCCCCTCCCCGCCCCCCCCCCCTCTCTCTCTCTCTCTCTCTCTCTCTCTCTCTCAAAATAAACATTAAAAAAATGAAAACTAGTATTCTTCTGAAAACAGTTTTGGCCTCATGGACCTGGCAGAGTGTTGGAATTCCCCAGGGGTCAGTGGGCCTCACTCTGAAAACTGCTGGTCTAGATTGGTGTTCACGGTATGGTTTGGGGAGTAATTGGCATCACCTGGAAGCTTGCTAGGACTGCCTCCTCACTGTCACCCCAAACTAAGGAGTCAAACTACAGTTTAACAAGATCCCCATTGGATTCCTATGCACGTTAAAGCTCGAGAAGCGCTGGCTTAAATCATTGATGCTTGGGGCGCCTGGGTGGCTCAGTTAAGTGTCCGACTTCAGCTCAGGTCACGGTCTCCTGATTCGTGAGTTCCAGCCCTGCGTCGGGCTCTCTGCTGTCAGCACAGCTTCGGATCCTCTGTCCCCCCTCTCTCTCCGCCCCTCCCCAACACATGTGTGCTCTCTCTCTTCCTCTCAAAGGAAAAAAAAAAAAATCAGTGATTCTTGGTGGTGGCACGGCAGCTCTTACTACTAACGTGTTAAAACGGTCTTATTCTGTGTGTCCAAACACTGCCTTCATACACACACTGAGTTCTGTATGTCTGCTAATAAAAACACATACGTGAGGGAGCTCCTTTTCTGTTTGCTAGAGGAGATGCTGCCTGGTTTTTGAATCATTGAATAAACTCAATAAGATCTTAAAAAAAAAACAAAACAAAACAACAGAAAACAAACACACTGATGTGTGCCCTGAAATAAGAAAATGCATTATCCTTGGTCACTGGATAAAATCACCCCAACTCCAAATGTTTAGGCACGCGTGCATGTGTTGTGATTTACTATGCATGCTGTCTCATGAAAATTTTACAGTGCCTCCTTCATTGGAAAGGAAGCAGGGATTGTTCCCCGCATTTGAAAGATGGGGGACTGAGGCCCAAGGCCTCATATCTCTTCAGTCTAAGAAGCAAAAAGAACTTGCGTTGTGTGCCGAGGGCCAGGTGAAAGGAATGGAGAGAAAGAAGAGCTTCCTATGGGTTTGGATGGTCGAGGAAGATCCCTGGAAGATCAGTGGTTGAGCTGGGCTTTGATAGATGGGCTTGTAAGTGACGAACAGAGAACTTTCTTGGAGGAGAAGACAATGCAGAGATATGGGGGGTCGTTTGGGGAAGGCACAGCGATGAGCATGGGATAGTGATACAGACAGTAACTGCCATGTAATGAATGCATGCAGTGCCCATCGGTACGCCAGGTAAGTGCCTTCTGTGCCTTGTCTCACTCCCCAGCAGCCCAGTCACATAGGTACTATTTTGACACCCTTTTTTTAGGGCCTGTGGAGAAATGAAGTGATTTGTCCACGGTCACACAGCTACAAGAGGCAGGCTTAGAATTGGAACCCATGACCGGGAGACTCTAAAGCCATCTGGCCCACCTCATTCCTTGTTGACAAATGGGAAACAGGCCCAGGAGCAGCGGCCCATGGACCTGGGCAGGTGGACCGTGGTAGATGGCGGTAGATGGCAGCCTCACAGGAGGCTGGCCGGTTGGGTTTAACTGCATAGGCTGATTCTCATCATAGTCACTCACAGGGCTCTGCTTTCTTTCCAAAGGTTGGTGCATCCTTTTGAAATCCCAGAGGTCTTCAGCCTTCCCATGGACCAAGGAGATGTGCGCTATCTAAAGTGGCTGGAGGAGGGCACGGGGGAGGACTGAGTGGGGGCGGCTCGTTGCAGGTCCCGCCGGCTGCCTCTAGCCTGCAGCAGCCGCCCTCTGGGGAGGCGGGGGGCCTCTGGCTGCCTCCTCGCATCTCTGGAGCCTGTGTCTGTGTCAGCGCGGAAGAGCTGAGGAACTTGAGGAGGTGAAGGTCTGAGGCCCCTGAGGCTGGAGGAGGAGGCCGGGTTGGTCGGGCCATGCAACACAATAGAACTGGATTCTGAGTGCTTCATGCTTAAAGGTGGCCAGGGGGTGGGAGGGTGAGGGCAGTTATATGGGGGGGGGGGGTGGAGGGCCCAGGGGAGATGGCAGTGAGGGTGACGTTTGTCATCTCCTGCAGTTACTGGGCCTACCTTGGGTGCCCAGGATGCAGGAAGAAGACCTGGTGACCTGTTCATCCGGTGTGTGGGATGAATGTCACTTTCTAGGGGAGCTGGCAAGCACTTTATCCAAAAGGATGAATTGCTAATGGTGGGGTTTCAGGGACAAGCAGGGTTATTTTTTGTAACTAAAGATGGTATTTGTTATTCCTGAATGGTGGGAATGGGCTTTGTGATTGGGGATAGGACTGCAGGAGTATTAGGGCTTAGACACAGCTCCGTGGGTGGAAATAGGTCTAGACTCCTCCTAGCCTGAATGTGACAGGTATCAGAAGGTTCTGGTGCCTTGCTCATTAGAGACCTAGGTTCTGAGCCCAGGGTACTAACCTGGTCACTTGAGCATTGAAATTGAGCATCCTAAAGTAGGAAAGAACCTTGGGGAACTGCTAGACTAGGGTTTTTCAGACTTGTTCCCCTGAGCTAGCGGTCCACAGAAGGTACGGTACCCTGGGTGCTTCCTGGGTGGGATAAGGGTATGAGACCCGCTCCCCACCCGTACCTCAACCAATATATACCTCAACCAGTAGAACTGTCTTGTATCACTTTTATGTATTGAACTCCCTTGTAAGTTTTTTTGAGTTTTCTTTGATAAAAGCTGGTAAACCAGGGGTCTAAGCCAGTCTCCATTTTATAGATTACCAAAGGAACCGAACTGCACTGAGGTCTGGCAAGGGGGTGGCGTGTTAAGAACGGTAAAGCCAAGACCGCTCACCGTGTGTCTGGTACTCTGCTATGCCTGCTCCCGGGTGTCAGGTGAAAGAGGGCAGGGGAGGCAGCACCCCTTTAGGGTGAGGAGAAAGATTGACCTAGGTTCCCTCCCGGAATCTGTCATGAGGTAACCCCACTCTGGGGAGACTGTGGGGTCCACAGGCCTCTTTGGTATCCTGGGTCTTCCCAGAGGGAAGGATATGTGCAGAGCTATTGCCAGGCTCGAGTTCTGACACCTACTGTGCTTCTTGAACCTTAGTTCCTCCAAATATAAAATGGAGGCTCTCCCAGGGCCCTTTGGGAACACCTTGTAGGGACTTAAGGCCGAGGCCCTTCCAAAGCTCCAGAGGATCCTTTTTTGATAGCCAGTAGGGATTTTGGAGGGCTACCTCAGGAGAAGGACAAAGAGAATGATACTGGTGATGTCCCTTTTTACAACAGATGTTTCTTTTTAATTTTTTTAAATGTTTATTTTTGAGAGAGAGAGAGAGACAGAGCGTGACGGGGGAGGGGACAGAGAGAGAGGGAGACACAGAATCCGAAGCAGGGTCCAGGCTCTGAGCTGTCAGCACAGAGCCCGATGCGGGGCTTGAACTCCTGGACCACGAGATCATGACCTGAGCTGAAGTTGGATGCTTAACCGACTGAGCCACCCAGGTGCCCCCTACAACAGATGTTTCTGATACACAGCAAAATCTGGTGTGAAGTAAACCCTGCTGAAAACGCTTTGGGGACCCCAGACGGACTGCCTCTGTTGCTTTCAGGTTAGAGCCCAGTCTGTTGGTCTGCCTTTCAAGGCCCTTCATAACCTTGCCTCAACTCGCTTTTCCCATCTCCACCGCCCACCTCTCCTTGCCCACTGTGGCAAGTGGATGGCTCCAGTATGCTATGTGAAGTTATTCCTGCGTTCCGGACATCCCCTCCACCTGGAGTGCCCTTTTCCACGAACACCTGGGAAACCTGGCTGCTCCTTTACAAGGCAGGCTCCCTCTGGGTTGGAAGGAATCTCTCCGGCCTCAGTGTTCCTATTATCCTTGTGCATTACAGCCAGCCTCCTATTTCTAGATTGTGAGCTGCTCGAGGTCAAGAGTACGTCTGAATCAATTTGATCTCTTGCACAGGGTTTGGCAAATATTTCCCAAATTGATGTTTCAAGGATTTGAATAAAGCTTTCTCTATAGCCCAGTTACTTTCTAACTTATGGAACTGGCAAAATCCAGCTGCTTTTCCTTGACCTTCCCTAAAGTGGGACTAATTCCAAAGGAGATTTTCCTATCTCTGGCCTTCATTGGGTCATTTTCGATGCTGACTGTGCACAGAAAGCTTTCTTCGTGGACTTCCTTTGCCTCAGTGGCATAGTTACCTACAGGAAATGGGAGAGAACAAAATACCAGCTCTCTGCTGGTTTTTTTTTTTTTTTAATTTTTTTTTTCAACGTTTATTTATTTTTGGGACAGAGAGAGACAGAGCATGAACGGGGGAGGGGCAGAGAGAGAGGGAGACACAGAATCGGAAACAGGCTCCAGGCTCTGAGCCATCAGCCCAGAGCCCGACGCGGGGCTCAAACTCACGGACAGCGAGATCGTGACCTGGCTGAAGTCGGACGCTTAACCGACTGCGCCACCCAGGCGCCCCTCTCTGCTGGTTTTAACTGAGTGTTCTCCGCAGCCTGCAGAAGAATCCTGAGATCAGGGAGCATGACACCTAACATAAGTGGCAGAGCTAGACTCTGAACCCAAGTCTGATTCTAGATCTGATGCTCTTACTGCCTCTTTCAGAGGTTGGACATACCCTTTTGTAGGCCAAACGCCCAGAGAGCCTACTGTAGCCAACTCTAAAGGAAGGGTGAGTCGTTCTGAAAACATGTATACAGTAATCGGTCTGGCACTTGAAAATGTACTGCAGTGTTTACTTGTCCCCACAGATCCAGAGCCTGGTGACAGTATCTTTGTTCTGCACATCAGGGCACAGGACTACAGGAGTTCAGTGATTCTGCAGGTCTGTGTGACTCCCAGCTTACTTACCGTAGACCACACTGCCCCCCACCCTGCCCCCTGAGTCATCCTGTGGACCTGGGATAGGACCTAGATGAGTGGCTCCATGCAGGAATTCCTTCCCAGCATTTCTCAGGAAAGGTATGTTTTTTGAATCCAGAATCCCCAAAAAAATCACTTGAGGAAATGAAAAACAATACTAAAATTATCTGTGAATACTAACGCTTAAAAGCATAAAGATGTTAACTGGTTTGAAGGAATCTATCTTTATCAAATCAAAACAGAGCAAGAAATACCAACACACGGAGTTGAGGGTGGAGGGACCCAGGGCAGGAGAGAAATGGTTACCCACCAATGAATCTTGCGATTGTTGCCATGTTCCAGGTGTGTCTGTCGAGCCCTATCTGCTGCAAACTGAGTTATTTGTACAAATAAGTTAATACACATGATATACTTTATACAAATCCTATGAGCTTTGTTTGAAGAAATAAGCTTTGGAAGCAAAATAAATTTTAATTTAGCAATTTTGACACGTGATTCCATGTATTAACCTTGCTAGGATATTTGAATGTTATTTGAATACTAGCCAGTAATGTTCCCTGGAGGTTTCCAGTGTCTAAATATTCCCTATAGGCTACAGTTCTTTGTAGTTACTGCTAAGCTTAATATTCCTGTTAAATTTTTTTCAGATATCTATGATAATGGGGGGGGGGGGAATGTTTCAAGTATTTCAAGAATAACTTGTGATTTAGAGAATTTCTGAGAATTCTAATTTCTTGCTCCTAAATCCCAAAGTAAATATTTGTTGTAAATTTGTAATCAGTAACCTAGACTACGAAGAACCAGGCACTCTCCAGCCTGGGCAGGACCGTTGTTTTCAGGAGGTCTATATAGCTGTTCACTTTGGAACTTGGACTAGAACCCAGGTCTCTTGACCCCTCAGACCATTCACTTTTCATTCCATCACATTGCTGGCAGCCCAAAGAATAATCCCACCCCCTTACACCCTGGCTTCAGCTGTGGTTTTGTTCCAAGGGCAGCTAAAAGGCTGAACCAGAAACCATGGTAGAAACAAGTGGGAGCGACGGTTAATGAATTTTTTTAAGTGCAGACATGAACATTCAGGGTGATTAACAGGCTACACTTTGTCCCTGCAATTGCAGAATCCATTTGAACCAATGACCTGAACCTCCCTATAGCTGATTTTTTTCTTATCCCTTCATGCCTATTTTTCTCTCTTCCAACTGTCCCAAATTTAGACAAGTTTAAAGTAATAACCCATCACATCACACGTATACGTAGAAGGGTTTCCTCCAAACACCTGGGAGCTAAACTCGGCAGGGACTATTGCTGGCATCTGGAGGGTGAGGAAAGCAAAGGCACCTGCTTGGAGTGGCATAGGCCATAAACACCTGATTTCTCGGATTGTGTGACTGCGTGCATTAAGTAGTTTTAGAGCGGCTGTACGTTAACTATTTTAATAAGGTCAGTTTGAGGTCATTCCCCATCTTTTACTTCATGGCCCTCAGCTGTTTGTTGCCCCCATGGATCAGGTACTCACAGTAGAAAAAAAGTTCCACATCCTGTTGGTGGTAAAGGTGAGAATATTGTGGGGAGAATGTGGGAGGGAGGGGTAGGAGTGGCAGGTGGCCAGATGGAGTCCTGTCATGCCTCCTCAGTTTCCAGGAAACCAAGACCAGAAACCAGACCATTCCTCCCGGTACCCAACAGCTGATAGACGGTTCATTCACCAGGGAGAAGATAGTTAATTTTTCAAAGGGAGCTTTTAAATTATAAATCACACATATTAATTATAACTTTAATATAACAAATGTTATTAAAAGCAGCAATTCAAAACCATAAATCTTTTCAAAGGTGCACAGGGTTATTATAAGGTCAGTTGGCAGTAATGCAGCTATTATCTGCTATGAATGAAATGCTGGGGTGTGGAGCCAGGGTGGCCTTCCCAGGCCTTATGCTGACTTCCCAAGTGAGGAAGACACCCCCTCCCCTCTTCCGGCCCAGAGTCTCTCTGGAGCTTGAGTAGAGAAGGTACAGGTGCACTGTGGCAGGCCTTGCTCATCCAGTGCTTTCCCAGACCTAGAAAGCCGAAGCCAGGCAGGAAGCCACAGACTGGATGCCGGGTCCCACACCCCTGCTAGGCTGGGGCTGGCTTCTCGGCTCCCCTTCCATCTGGCCCCAGCGGGGGGGCTTCCGTGGCAGCAGCTGTGGGGCTGAGAAGGGAGAGAACTGGGCCCAACCCCAGCTGTTCCCTGCCTGGGTCCTGCTGGGGAAGCAGAGGGGAGTGGGTGGGCCACGTGCAGGAGGTGAGGTCCCGTGTGAAAGGCACTATAGGAGCTGAGGTTTAAGGCAAGGGGCGTCTGAACAATCTCAGGGACTCCATGATGCGCACAGCTGGGGAGGGCTGGGCACAGCCACGGAAAAACCAGCTCCCCAGGCCCGCTGCCCCCACTGCCGCCCCTTCGTTCACCCACTTTCGCCTTGCAGCTGGCAGCCTGCAGAACTCAGCCAGGCTGGAGGCCACGGTGGCAGTTGGCAAGGCTGGTCCCCATCTGGTCCACCCCCTGCCCTAGTCAAGGCACTTCTTCCTACTTTCCAATCAAGTGGGTCAGTTTCTAATATCTCTGGAAGCAGCAAAAATGAGGGGTCCCCTCCCCTTCTCATTTTTGGTTTCCCTCCAGATGGTATGAGTTGTAATGTCAGTTCTAAGAATTCTACTTATACCCCCGCTTCCCTTTGGGGGGACTGAACAACACAAGCCTTTTAAAAGTCCCAACCTGTCCCAAAAAGTGATTGTCAGTCTCAGGGTGCGGCAGGGGGTGAGGAAGAGGGTGTGCGCCCTCCACGCCTCCCTGTGGGGTCCTAGCTAGTTCATGGGCAGGACGAAGGGGCCGGAGCTGGACTTTCACAGTTAGTTGCAGCACAGGGCCCCTGAAGAGGGCCACGGGAGAGCAGAGGGCAGGAGCCAGGCTGGCACCGGAGGGAGCGGGGTGCGCGTGTGTGCGTGCGGGTGGTGTGTAGGCCGCGAGGGTGAAAGCGCACGTGTGGATGGCAGCTTCTGTGAGGGTGGGTATCGCTCGGCTGGGTGTGAGGTGGGTCTGGGGGTGGCAGGCACAGGAGACAGCCTGAGGTCTCCTTTCCTCCCCCTTCCTGTCTCGCAAGTTTTTGAGGCCAGGACCTCGGCAACGATGAGGGGCGGGGCCAGAGAAAGGACCAGCTCTGGGACCTCGACACCTGCCGACACCTGCAGCCATACTAACCGGGCTCTGGTGTTGGTGCCTTGAGGCAGAGACCCAGACTCTTGGCTCCTGGGATCCCGAGAGCCCCGGGGTCTCTGCCTCACCGGCAGAGGCAGCCTCCCACTCTCACAGCATGGAGGGGCAGCAGAGGGGGGAGGGAAAAGCTCGGAGGGGCGTCCTCTTCACCTTCAGCCATGCTCGAAGGTTCCCGTTTGCACACCGTGGTCCCTGGGACGACCGGCTGCCCACGGGTCAGCTGTGAAGGACATCCGGTACGGGGACAGCCATGTGTGCGTAGGTGTGTAAACACCCCCCCCCCCAAACAGGGTAGGAGAGAGGTAAAGGGACATAATGGGACGAAGAGAAAGACTCGGGCCTCTGGGAGAAGGGTCCTAGCGCCACGGGGACACACATTCAGTTACAGGTAAACGGTTGGAGGGAGAGTGTGAAGACACTGAGTGACAGCCAGTGGGACCTTAGACACACAGGCAAAGGGGTGGCGAGCCTGACGAGGCCCAAGAGCGGAACAGGCACGCAGAGAGGCGCCGGCCTGGGCCTGGCAGGCAGGCGGGAGGGCCTTTCGGCCACAGGCACTCGCAGCTGTCTGGCTTTCTTCCCCTGCCCGGGCCTGGAGAGAACGGGCTGCCGGCGTCCCCTGGGGCTTGTCAGTAAGGGGTGGTCCCTTCCCACTCCACCAGGTACTGGACCTTGCCCTCGGGCGTGACCCTCCTGGCCAGCACCTGGTACTTCTCCCCACAGGCTAGCCGCCCGGCCGCGCCAAAGTAGTTGGTGATGGAGGACTTCAGGTGGGACAGGGATGAGTCATCCTCACTGATGCTCTCGAAGGTGTGGCTGTCGACGCCCTCGTCCGGCCGCTCGGGGCCCAAAGCCCCTTCCGCGCTGCTGTCTGAGGGGCAGCGTCCACCCGGCTCGGCTGCCCGCCGTTTTGCCCGCAGGGGCACGTACGCTTTGGCCGCCAGCTTCCTCTTGCGGCTGCCCACTGTCCGTCTGCGTCAGGGTGGGGGGAGGAAGACGGCGGGAACGGGGTGGAACGATGCTGACCAGCCCCTCTCCCTGAGGCCCCTCCCGGGCGCCAGGCACCGGGCCGGGCCCCAGGGGGCTGCAGCATCTCACCACCGTCCTCACCACGGTCCCAAGGAGGCCGAACAGGAGAAGCCACCAGCGGGCGAGTGGCTGAGCCAGGCATTCAAACCCGGGTGTGTCCGGCTCTAAAAGTGCACACTCTCCACGTAGGACCTCAGCACTGCGGAGGGGCGCCACCCTGCGCCTCCCGAGTGCCACGCGGAGGCCTCGCCTGCACCTGCACCGCGGAGGCCCTTCCCTGGGGAGTCGGAGGGGGTGGGGGATGGGAGGGAGGGACTGACGGGCCTCATACCCAGAGTCCTGGATTGCAGACAGACAGATGTACGTGGGTGACACACACACACAGATGAAGAGACAGAGGTGGTGGGGAAACACAGAAGAAGAGGCATGTGTTCACAGATGCTTAGAAGCCAAGCCCCGGGGAGCTTGTGAGAACCAAAGAAACGAGAGGAAATAACTACAAATCCAGAGGCAGCAAAGGAGACCGACAACTAGAGATGCTCTGATAGACGCCAAGGCACAAGAGTCCTCACATACAGTCACAGGAGCCTCCCGTGCTGCCGAGCACCAGCTACTGCCACACAGGCTGCACCCTTGGCTAGGTCTCCAGGCGCTTCTGTCCCTGCTCCCAGACCCCAGACCCTGCAGGATGCCATCTTCCCCTCCCTCAGGCTTCCAAATCAGTGGCTCTTTTCCTTAGTGACCCAGAAGACAGACACCAGATTTAGACAGCCAGGAAGCAGGGGACCCTGTAGTCAGGGGTAGAGACGGGCAAAATCATGGCAGGTAGAGCCCTAGAACCGAAACTGCTCGGCAACAAGTGTCACATAACCTGCAGCTGATGAAGAGCCACCTGAAGGCCCACATCAGAACCAGATGGTCCCGGGCCCCAAGCTTGACACCCCAGCACACAGAGTGGGCCACGTGGCACCAGGGGGAGGCGAGGCGGCAGGGGGACGACGGACAGGGTCCATCCTGTGGGAAGCTCACCTGGAGTCATAGGAGAGGCTGGTGGAAGCCGAACCGGAAGTGCTGGCGGCGTCCGTGGAGTCCACGTCGGAGAAGAAGGTCTGGCCCGAGCTGGCGCTGCGAGGGGGGAGAGGGTGAGCCTGCCGCCGGCCCTCGGCACCCCTTGGGACCCTCCGGTCGGCCCTGAGCGCCGCCCCCTTCCCCTGGCCCAGCGAAGGCCCGCCTTCCCTCCACCGCGCTTCCCACCACCGTGCCTGCAGGGGCTGCTCCTCGGCCTGTCCATCTCCTACGCAGCGGCCTCCAGAGCCCGAGGAGCCTCGGGACACTAGAGGAAGCCTCCCCCCACACCCGCCCCCGTGGCGAGAGGTGCACTAAGGAGCCTGGCCACCGCCACCTGGGTGCTATATAGACCCAAAGGGCTTTCATTTCCAGCACCCGTTCGAGCCTCCTAACAACCACGCGGAAACAGGTGGGAGGTGCAGAGAGGCTGGAGGACCCTGACGCCGCAGTCAGTAATTGGTACGTAGGGGCCGCAGCCCAGGCCTGACTGAAGCCCTTCCTCTCCTTCAGGAAGCACCAGCTGGCCTTTGACACTTCCAGAAACAGAACAGTGGGCTGTGTGTCCCCTCCCCGTGGGTGTACTGAGCATGAGGAGCTATGGGGATACACAGACAGGAGCACCCAACACAGCCTGGGGAGGGCCAGGGAAGGCTCCCTGGAGGAACGGGAATGCAGGGTGGCCAAAGCAATTCTGGTATATGGTGTGAGGGCAGGGAGAAGCAGGACAGGGGCTGGACAGGTAGGGAGGGCCCAGGCGAGGCGGCCTTTGACCCTGCTCTGGGGAGCTGTCCCGGGGAGCCCCGCACACCTACAGCAGGAGGATGTCGTGCTGAAAGTTCTATCATGGGAAGACCCGTCAGGCAGCCTAGTCAGTAGGCCTCATGCAGCGTGGACCCTTTTAACTAGAATGACCCAAGGGACCTTCCACTCCCTCAAAAGGCTCTCTCATTTGCCCCTTCCAGAGCCTTCCTTCATTGCCAGGGAATGGAGGTCTCACTGCTTGCCTCTACCCCACGCTCCAGAACAGCCCTCTCTGCCGGGTCCCTCGTTGGTACCTTTTTAAACTCTGAATTTCGTCCAGCGAGAAGTCAAATATGCTGGCCAGGTGGTGGTTGGTGCTCCAGGCTGAGGTAAAGTCACTCTGTGGACACAGGAAGGAGCAGGAAGATGGGTCAGTGAGCATCAGACCCGCCCCCCACAGCACCCTCTCTGCTGAGGGCCACACAGGGTTTCTGAGGGCTGGGCCTCCCAGGGGTTAGACTCGTCACTCGCTCTTTATTCTTTCTGACCAGGGAGCCACATCAGACCGTTTCTAGCCCTGTCCCTAGCTGAGCACATGGCCTTCCCAACTCTGGGCCGCAGTTACCTGAACCGCAAAAGGTGGCCAGCGACACCTGCCGTGCTTCCCTGGTAGAGGTGTTGGGAAGCACAGAAGAATGAGATGTTGGCTGTAAAAGCAACTTGCTCGCTGTCAGGTGACAGGGAGGTGTGAGCATCGCTAGTATTCGTCCTCCAGGGAGGGCTGCAGCAAGGATGCGGGGCCAAGGAAAGACTGCTCCGGAGCCCTGGGTCTAGGCTGGGCTCTGCCACTGGCTGAGGTGTGACCTCAGGAAAGTCACTGTCCCTCCCTGGCACTCAGTGTCCCCACTGGACTGTGGAGGTGAGGATATTACCTACCCTGCCCCGCCCCCTTTGGCTTCTCAGGAGAGTTTGGGGAGAGAAAGCAGTCGTGGGAGAGTGTAGGGAGAGAAAGCGGTGGTCTCAAAGTGCCTGGTTTTTGCTTGTTTTGCTGCAGAAGGAACTGGCTTCTCCTTTAAGGGATGTGGGAGAGTCCCTGGGGCCTGGGGTGCTTAGTTTCCTGCAGAGGAATCCCTAATTAATGTGCTGACCCTGTGTGTGAACGTGGAGAGCAAGAAAACAAGAAACTAACACTGGGAATAGCATCTTCCAGCAAAAACTTTGATCTTTTTCTTCTATAAACTCGCCTTTTCTGCTGCTGGAATTCGTGAGGCAACAAACTGTGGAGACAGAAAGGGGAGAGGGTGGCTGGGTCAGAGCCTGAAGGCCCGGAGGAAGGAGAGGCAGGGCTGGGGTCACAGCAGGGCGGGTAGGGACAGGCGCTCCTTCACAGGGCTGTCTGGGGAGGGCACATCCTCCAGGCGGCAGGTGTAGGAGGGTGCAGAGGGGGGTGTGGTGGGCAGAAAAGAGGAAGGATGTTCTGCCCTGGGCGCCCAGGATGAGGGGCTCAGCTTGGCCAGGAGAGCTAGGGACCCCGTACACACTCTCGCTTCCTCTTCCCTCTCTGCCTCAGCTCTAACCCGGCAAGACGGGGCCTCACAATCTGCCTTTCCCTCCAAGCAAGGCAATAGGGGCCGCGGTGGAAGAAATCCCAGATGGGGGATCAAGTCCAGCCGCTGACTGGCCCTCTCAGGGTGCCTCCAGCTGGGCCTAACCAGGTGGAGTTCTTCCCTGCTCGCTTGGATGTCACTGTGGTCTCTGGGCCCACCGCACAGCACATAGGCTGGGGCTGGAGCCGGGAGCAGCGGAGACCCCGAGCTCGGTCCCCAGGCACTGACCCAGGCTTGCTCTTTCCTCTCTTACGCAGCTCAGAGGAGGCCACGCTCTCAGTGGGCACCAGGCCCTTGTCGGGCAGCAGCTTCCCTGGCGGGTTGGGCGGGACCCGGATGCGCAGGCGGAAGATGCATTTCTTCTTCTTGATCTCCTTGCCACAGAGGAACCTGGGGGGAGGGGGTGGACAGGGGGAGGAGAAAGCTCTGGAGTCTGTCGGTCCATCCTCCTGGGGAGGAGAGTCAAGCATTAAAATTACTCTCTGTCTCCCTGGACCCAGAACTGAAATCCAGAGTTGCCCATGGAGATGCTGATTCCTCAAGGCCTATGGGACCAGGGGTCCCAGGTGGTGGCTGGGGATGTGGCTGGTGGTCCCCCCCGTCCTTCCTCTTGCATGTCTGTGGTTCCTGCTGCTCCTCCTCTCCCTCAGCCAGCCCCAAGGTCACCTTCTATCGGAAGTTCCAGCTTTCAGTGGAACTGCTATGGCCAAGACACTGGATCCTGCACCATTCTGTTCTCTGGTCTCCCCAGGGAGACTGGAAACACCTCCAGGTACTTCCCTCATCCTTCCAACACTAGCCGAGCTGCCATGAGGTGAAGAGGTGACTCAGACAGTCCTCCCCCTCAAGAGACTATCTACAGGGAGGGCAGGAAGCCCCACTACTCAAGAATAGTGAGAAGACAGAAGGAAAATAGAGTGGCTAATTCTGTCTAGCGATGTCTGGAGAGGTTTCACAGAAGCAGGGACCATGTCCTATTCCTCCCTGTGTCCTCAGCATCCACAAAGGGCTGACGCAGAGTAGCAGTTCAATAAACAGTTGTTCCTGGGGGCGGCTGGGGGGCTCAGTCGGTTAAGGGTCCAACTCTTGGTTTCGGCTCAGGTTGTCATCTCACGGTTCATGAGTTCGAGCCCTGAGTAGGGCTCTGTGCTGAGTGTGGAGGCTGCTTGGGGTTCTCTCTCTCCCTCTTTCTCTGCCCCTCCTTCTCTCCCTCTCTCCCTCTCTCGAAAACAAATACACGTTTAAAAAAACATACAGTTGTTCACGGAACAAATGAGTGAAATGGATGGAAGAGCATCCTAGTCAAACAGAGGGATCTGAGCAAAAGCACTGAGTGGGAGAGCAGTGCATTCAGAATGGCTGACACCCAGAATAAAGCAAAGAATCAGTGGCAGAAGGAGTGGGCAGAGTCTCATCATAAGAGGCCTTGAATGCCGTGCTCAGGAGCCTGGGCATTCTGTGCAGGAGTAGCAAGGGATGTGCCAGATGTAGGTTCTGAGGAGTCAGAAGTCTGGAGGGGAAAACATGGTGCTGGGGACAAGCTAGGAGGCTGTGGCCCACCCAAGAGACGATGAATGGAACCTTCAGTGCCTGGCCCAGAACCACAGATGGCCAGAGCAGGACGGGCCCTCAGAGATCAGGGGTGTACCCCCTGTGGAGCCGAGCCCAGGGCCAAAATGCATCAGGTCACTGGAGTGCTCAGGGGAGGCATCACAAAAGAGGTGGAGTGCTCCCTGGATCTTGAAGAATGGGTAGGAATCATCTAGTCAAAGAGGAGGGGCAGGACACCCAGGCTGGAGCACAGGCTGAGCAAAGACCACGAGGCCGGAAGATGCTTTACACCCAATCCCACCTGTTGGGGGGGGGGGGGAGGGCCCATGCACGCGCTCCCTTCCCAGCACGCACCGGCTTTTGTAACTGTTGAGCGCATTGAGGAGATGCGGTCCTCGGTCCGTCACGGGGGTGCTGGTGAGCTGAGGGAGAGCAGCCAGCAGGATAGTCAGACCCAGGCACATGGGGGCCCCTGTCCCCTCCCTGCAATCTCCGGGTGAGGACCCTGATTTCCTCCAGGAGTCCAAATCTTTTCACCTCTCTGAGCTCACTTCTCCCTCTGGAGTAACTCCCGTCCTAGATGTATCAGGAGCTTTAAAAATGCCCATGCCCTTGACCCAGTAATGCCACGCCGTGGGATCTATCACAGAGATCTAACGTGAAACACAAAGCTTTAAGTACAAAAATGGTCACTGCAGCGTCGGTCCTAATGACGGGCAAATATGAAACGTGGGCAAGAAACTACCTGCCCAACAGGAAGGAAAGCACTAAGTAAACCATGCTAGAAACCAAGGAAACCATTAAAAATGTTGCTGAAAACTCTTTCTGGAATATGGAAACGTATTTATGATATAATATGAATTGAAAAAAAAAGATGATTTAAAATTTTACTTACTGTATAACCTAAGCCAAGGAAAAAGGAAAAACAGACACAGAAGAAAGGATGGAATACATTAGTAGCAGTTGTTTCTGTGTGGTGTGCTGGGTAGGTGACGTTTTAAAGTCTACTTCCTTATGCTTTTTGGCATTTGACAATTTTTCTATCAGGAACATGTATGTTCTTTTTATATATCAGAAAAAAAGTTATTAAAAACACCAGCTCTATCTGTCTTTTAAGGCTTTACAACACGTATGGCTTTTATAAATTATCAAACACCATAAATGAAGATGTTGTTATACGAAAAGCTTTTGCAAAGCATAAAGGGTCATCCTTTTTAAAAAAAATTGTTTTTGGTAAATTCCTGTCTCATCAAAGAAAGATTTCTGGCAGTCAGTAGAGAATATGCCCCACTCTGGATTGGTAGAGAGGACTCTTAAGGCTGCTGTGCGGGAAAAACGGGCATGGCCCCACCATGAGAGAGGTTGGGATGCCCTGGCTCCAATCCTGGCTCAGCTCCAAAGCTGTGCTGGCCACCTCTGACCTCCTGAAAGTCTGTGGTTTGTTACTTTACTGCCCAGCTCCCAGGCTCCCAGGCTCGCAGGCTCCCGCTGACCACTTCTGCTATTCAGAGTAAGATCAGCAGAGGGCAGGCCCACTTCAATTTCCACTACAGCCAGGTAATCTGGAGCAGGTCCAACATCTCTGTAGGGAGCCCTGTTGCAGCCAGATCCACCCCCGGCCCCCTGCTGCTGAGTCAGGGTGGCCCCAATCCGCCCGCTGCCAAAACCCGGGTCAAGGAAGCCCCTCACAGGGCAAGGGCTCAGAGGCTTGGACCAGGGGATGTGGCAGCTGCAAGGCTCTAGGTCTTTCTCCCAGCCAACAGCCCTTGCAGGCAGGTGGTGCTGCCGAAGGGTGAGTCCTCAAGAGACCCCGACACCAGTCCTGCACTGTGTGACCCTGGGCAAGCCTCTCACCTCTCTGGACCTCGGTAAGCCCACTGTGGAACGAACTCTGGCCGTTCTGCCTTCCCGTGGCCCTGCATACCTTGCCAAGCTGCAGGAGCTCCCAGTGGTGGTTGACAAAGGCCAGAATCTCCTCAAAGTCAAAGTACTTCTTCTTGCTCTGCACCCCCAGGTTGTAGAGGGCCAGGTGAACCACATCCACCCTGGGCAAGGGGGTGAGTAGGTGGGGCTGGGGTGAGGCGGCAGCCTGCCCAGCCCGGGCTGGAGCCTCCGGGGCCCAGGCTGAAGGGCAGGGGCAAGGCTGGGACCTGGTGGCTGGAAATGGAATTGTTCCCGGAGGGAGGTGGGAGCGGAGCAGCTGGGAGGGGACAGGGGTGGGCCTGGCCGAGCGAGCCCCCCCGTCTCACCATCGCAGGGGCAGCCGCTCGATGTACTCCGGGCCCTGGTTACACACGGAGCAGAAGAACAGGTAGAACCTGGAGGAAGGTGGAGAGAGGCCTGTGGTGGCAGGGGCTGACACCCCACCCTAGCCCAGCCCTCGCCCACCCTTGCTCCCCACCGGCCTTCCCACAGTGAGTGCTGTCCTCGTTCCAACGACTAGTGGTCCCTGCAGGAGGCGGCGGCTAGGACGGGGCAGGACACAGACCACACAATACTTCCCAACCTTCCCCTATGCCAAACTCTTTCCCAAACGCCGTTATCCCAGAGTGTGGCTGAGTTCAGAGCCAGCTGAGCTAGGCTGGGCTGCAGTGGGCACCCTCTTCCCCTCTGAGACACACACACACACACACCCACGTGCACACACACGCAATCACAATCCTGACACACCAAGACACGCAATATCTGGTGTGACACACAGAAGCCTTCTGTTAGCTTAGCCCCATTCATTAGAAGTCAGATCAATCATCCAGCTCCCAGTGGCTCCTCTAGTAGCCTGGGTAGGGGTGAGGCAGGGCCTCCTGCATCCCTCCCCCTCCGCCCAGACTCAGGAAGGGACTGGGGCTTAGGGGAGGTGGGGCTTTGTCTAAGGTCCCCGACAAGTCAATGGCAACTGGGGCTGTGGTCCGGCACAGCCCTCTACTGAGAAGGCCTCCCTCACCCTGAGCTGCCTCCCATGGACAGGCGCCCACCTCAAAGACCCCCACCTGCGTAGGGCCTGGCAGGCAGTCTGAAAGAGCCACCGCCACCGCTGTCCCCTGTCCCCTCAAGGCTGAAGTGGATCAGATTAGCACCTACCGGTCTCCGAACATCATGGGCTCATTGAGGCACTGGGTGCAGGCCTCGTGGAACCACTGCCTGCACCGGTAACACTGCAGCATCCGCAGGTACCATCTGGAGAGCCAGAGGAGCCAGGGTCAGCCAGGCCCACACTGCTAGCCAGGCATCAGCCTCCGCAACCTCTCCCAACACAAACTTGCACTCCACCGGGGGAAAAGGAAGAGAACTCACAGTTACCGAGCACTTAGGCTGGGCCAGGGGGAGGTCCAGGGAGCAGGCATATGCTATATTGTTTGATCTCACCCTCTGGTAAAAGATGGGCCACTGCCCTAATTTTATAGACTTCGAGCTTAAATGGCTTGCTCAAGGTCACTCAGGAAGCAAATGGTGGATGGTGATTCAAACCCTGGCCTCCCTAACTTCAAAGCCTGCCCTCCTCATGACACAGTTGGAGCCCCCATCTCTGGACTGGGCCCCACACACAGCTTCTCAAAAACTACCGCAATGGGAAGGTCTGCCCTAGAGACTTGGCAAGAATATAATGGCTCCTGTAAGCTCCATGGGCAGCACCATGTCTGGTTTTTCTCACCCAGTACTGTATCTACCCTGTCATGGCCATTCAACAACTATGCACTGAATATGAACAAAGAGCAAAGTGGTATTTCCTCACTGACAACCGATGCTTCATTCATAACTTGTCAGGTGCGGTCCATGGACCGTGAACATCAGAATCACCTGGGGTCCAGGTTAAAATACGAGGATTCCTTGGCTCACTCCAGACCTACTCAATCTTTTGCGGGGGGGGGGGGGGGGGGGAACGGGAGATGCACTAAGAACCACTGCCTCAATTCTGTTAAGGTCTCTATAAGCATTTCTTCCTCTGTTATCCTATAGACCTCCCCACACCCAGGGAAGTTGATGGGGCCAAGGTAATTAATCCCTTGGCCTGCTAGGCTGGATAAGCCCAGCCTCCAGATACCTACTGGTTGTCAACAGAGCTAGGGGCTAAGATTCAGGACTTTAGGGCATCCCATACGGATATGTCCTGAGGGCAGAGACCCCATCTGTCACTTCTGTGGTTCCTGCCACAAGGTCTGGTGCAGTCAGGCCAAGAGAGCAGGCTCAACCCCCCATGGCTACAGGGAGGCCCAGGCTGGCAAGGAAGAATCAATCAAAGACTCCTGTCCTATAGTCAGGGCAAGAATCCCGTCCACAGCATCCCTGACATATGACCCCCTACCCCTGCTTGCACACTTCCAGGCCAAAGCACTTTAATGCCTCACCGGCAGCCTGTTTCATTGGCTCGGACAAGAGCAAGGTTTACCTTCAATTCCATGCGCCAGCAGTAACAGCTAACATTTATTAAGTGCCTTCCAAGTAACAGGCACTGCATGAGCCTTTATGTGAATTGATCTAATCGCACCCTGTCCACCACACCGTATAGCGGGAAAACTGCGATGAGGACTGCACTCAGGAGCTGCACACAGCCCCAAGGGGCTGGGAGGATCTGGACACTTGGGGCTAGGCTCTTAGCCGCGCTTCCACACTTCCTTCCCTTCCTGGAGCCACACAGCCTGAGCTCCAGCCTCGCTCCCTCGGGCCCCGCCCCTCCGCGGAGCCCCCGCCCACCTCCCCGCCCCCGGAGGCCCCGCCCCCGCGGCCTTACTCTCCGGGCCCGCCGCAGTAGCAGTAGCACTGCTGCTGGTTGGTGCGGTGGGGCGAGTCCCACTCGAGCTCTTCCGGCTGGTAGGACAGCACCATCTTCACGGCCTGCAGCGTCCTGGCGATGGCGCCCTTCTTCAGCGCGCCGCCTTTCTGCGGGGAGATGAGGGTCCGGCTCAGCGGCGGGGTCCCGGTGGGGGGTGGGGGGCGCGGCCACACAGGTCTGAGTGCGGCCAGCACGGGGGAAACGCTGACTCGGGGACCCGCAATTATTCCAACGTTGTCAGAAACGCAAGAAGCTTTTTCTTATCGATCCCAAATCTATGCTCTCTCCATCCCAGAAAGATCTCTATTAACAACAGTATTAGTAGTCGCACGCTGCAAGAAAGGTGACAATAATAACCAATAGGTACTGAGGGTGGCTGCTTACATGGATTTTGTCTTTTGATAGTAGAGCACCATTTATTGGGGGCCACCTACCCCTGGCACCAACCCATATCCATTTTACCATTGAGGAAACAGGCTTGGGGAGGCTAAGGAACCCTGCCAAGGACGTACCGCTCCCTGGTCAGTGGCAGGAGGGCTGTCTGCCTCCAAAGTGCAGGCTCTGTGACCTGCCGTCAGGTGGGAGCCCAGGGAGTCCAGGCTCCCAGACTGGCGTGGGGAAAGGCAGGGGCTGCAAGGGGGGAGGGCTCACCCGCACAGCCAGGGCGAAGATGCAGCGTCGGCAGAACCAAGGTGTGAGCAGGGGCCGGTCGGCACTGCCTGCTATAGGGATGTGGCACTGCTGGTGGTAACCTGAGAAAGAGAGGGGGCTGCTGAGCGCCCACAGAGAAGCACTGACCCCAAGCCAGGCAGCCCAAAGGCCACAGGGCTGGGGAGGGTGGCAGCAGCTAGGAGGAGCTGGGTGCCTACCAGCTGCCAGGGCACTGGCAGGCGACGCTCACCAAGGCAGCCAAGTTGGCGTCCAAGCAGGCAACTAAAAGACAGCCTGGGACCCAGTAGGGGAGGCACAACAACCTGGCTTAAGCCTTTGTGCCCCATCTCTCCACCCTCCTCTCTACTGGGTTAGGGGGAGCTCCAAACTGCATACCTTGTCTCACTTTCCTGGAGCCCCAGCTCTCCCCAGGGGTCACTTCCCTGGGCCCTCATTCCCATGGACTGGCCCCCTGTCACTCTGGAGCTCCAAGAGAAACGGGAAGCCGGCTAAGATCCCAGTAGCGAGGCATATGCCATTTGGGGCCAGTGCGGGTGGGGGCCTCCCATGTGCCCTGCTCACCACACTCACCCAAGCCACACTTCCCACAGATGAGGATCTCATTCAGCGGCCCTGAGGTCTTCCCCAGGCAGATGTTGCACTTGGGCTCCTCCCCTGGAACGCCAGCTGAAAGGGAGAGAGGGAGGCCCTCGGGGTCAGGTTCTGCTCACTAGCAGGACTTAGAAGAGTTTAAAAAAATCACCCTCCAGTTCCTGAGCCTCTACTGGACGTGGCGCTGGGCCCCATGGGCCAACTCACTGAATCTCAACTACTCTGAGGTACCCATTATCATTAGCTCATTCTAAAGGTGGGGAAATTGAGGCTCTGAGAAGTCCCAGAAGTTAAGTAGGAGAGGTCGGATTCAAACCCATGGCTCTTTAACGTCAACTCCTTTGTTCTTTCTGACCATATCACGCTGCCTCTCCTGCCTAATTTAGCTTGTCTGTTAAACAAAATTTTATGTTAATAATAATAGAATGTTCTAATGAAACTCCATGTTCTTACCAATAATTAAGAACTCATAGCCAGTCTTGTTTTGCCTATATTCCCACCCACTTTCTCCTCCTGTATTACTCTGAATCACTTCCCAGATACCTAATCATTTTCTGAAAATATTTCAGTATGTATCTCTGAAAGATTAGGATGTTCTTTTAAAAAACAAAAACATAACTACAGTGCCTTTATTGCACCTAAAAATTAAAAACGGTTTCTTACTATCACCAACAAATTCGGTGACTATTCACATTTCCAACGGTCTCTTATATAAAAATATAATAAGTTCAAGTATGTTCAACTGCTTTTTTTATTAACCTTTTTTTTTTTTAACATTTATTTATTTTTGAGCGACAGAGCACAAGCAGGGGAGGGGTGGAGAGAGAGGGAGACCCAGAATCTAAACCTGCACAGAACTGTCAGCACAGAGCCCGAAGCAGGGCTCGAACCCACAAACTGAGATCGTGACCTGAGCTGAAGTCGGATGCTTAACTGACTGACCACCCAGGTGCCCACAAATGTGTTCAACTGCTTCTAATCTACAAGTTCTTTCTCATCTCTTTTTTTCTCTGCTTTTTTTTTTGCGGGGGAGGGGTGGTTATTGTTGAAGAATAAGTGTATTTATGTGTGAAAGGTTTGCGTGAATAAATTAATACATTTTGAAACATGTTTCTGTCTGGTTCCCCCCAGCCAACTAAAAGTTTTGTTAAGGGCAGAAATGGTAGCCGCTCCTCACGATATCGCCAGGACCTCATAAAGTGTGTGGCACATAACACGTGGTCAAGACATGTTTGTTGAACATGAACACGCAGTCTCTTGCCTCTTATCCCACAATATGCCCCCAGGCAGGGGCTGCACTAAGCCCGCACTGGCTTCAGGAAGTAAAGCCACTGATATAAACCAATAAAGCAACAAGCTTAAGTAATCGATAACTACGGCTTGCTCAGCCTTGTGCTCTCATCTTGGGCACAGCCAAGGACAGGGCCCCATCCTGCCGGTGAGGCACAGTCGTCTGGAGGGGGAGACAAGCTGTTCCCCAGGGGCGGTGGCACACGTGTGGTCCCTGGCACGTGCAGGACCTTCTACTCAATGTCTGCTGAGGGGTCTTTCTCACCTGTTGGCTTTCTGGGTCTTCAATAAGAGGGTAACTTGGGAGAAGAGCTCCTCATTGCTTTGGATCTCTGTATTATAAATTGAGGGGGAGGGGAGCTTGGAGAAGGACCTCCAAGTCTACATTAGCCACAACATCTTAGAGAAAAGGGCAGTTTGGAATCTCTACAAACTGGCTGGGTTCTGCGGCCTCTACTTGGCAGGCTCCTTGAGATCATTTCTTACAGTAACAAATTCTTTAGAGACTGCCTCCCTGTAACTCCGGAGCAGTGGGCTAAGAGTTTTACGTGGAGTCTCACTTAACCACCCTGGGAGTCCAGTATTTTCATCATCTCCTTATTGTTCAGCTGAAGAAACAGGCTCAGAGAGGTGTCGTCACTTGCCCAACGACACACAGCTAGCCAGCAGCAGGGCTAAGCCTTGGTCCAAGGTCTACTGAGCCTCCGCTTGGAGCTCCACGTTGGAAATATGAGAGTGCCGTGACTGCTTAGCGAGGTCTGTCGTGTCCGTGGGAAGGGATAGCGGTGGCAAGACAGGAAGATGTCAGCTCTCCAAGTGCAGGGGTGGCACCCAGCCCAGCTCCCTTTCGCCCCCGAAGCTGGTCCAGCCCCGCGTAGGCATGATCATCTTCACCCTGCCCGGTCCGTCTCTGCGCTCCTGGCTTTCCACCGAGGCTAGAGCTGCCTCCGCTCGGTTTCCTCACACGGGGGTGCGGCACACTGTGCTCACGTCTAGAGGTGCCCGTCTGGGTTGCCTGGACCCCTCCCCGTTCCTAGCCCCAGACTGGCCCACAGCTTCGTGCAGCAGGGGGTGAAGCACAGCGAGAAAGCAGACACGGGCCTGAGACCCATCCCAGTTCTCCCGGCACCTTCCCGAACCACCTTCTCCGCCTTTCCTGCCTCCCTTGCGACAGGGGAGACGTGGGAGTAATCAAGGGCATGACAGATGTCAGAAGCCCTTTTCCGTGTAAAAACACAACCGGCCACCTTACCGTCTTCTCAGGTGGGCTTGGTGGGGAGTGGGGAGACAAGGCCAGGTGCCAGGAGTGCAAGAGAGAAGGACAGGAGGACAAAACGGAAGTGGAGGAGGAGAGAGGGCCAGGGACGGGGCAGGGGGCCCAGGCTCTTAGGAGTACTCACCATGCTGTATGTCCTTCCACAGGACCCAGTATTTGGAATTATCTTCAAAAGTCACCAGGCAGCTCTGCTTAGAACTACTGACCTGGGGCACGGAGAGGGAGGGGTAACGTGAGAAAGTGGCTGGGGAAAAGCCACTGGGACGTGGTCTTCCTCTCCCATTTCTGCCCCTGCAGGACAGAGAGATTACACCCACTCCTTGCGCTCCAGAAAGCAGAGCTGGGCTGGAAGGGGAGGGAGGACAGCAGCTCCTGGTAGTGCGCGCCCAGTCCCTGGAGCCGCACGGTCAGGGGCCAGGGGACCACAACTTGGTGGAAATGCTGAGGACAGCACAGGCCAGGTGGTCATCTGAGATCCTCTCCAACCTGCCTTTGTTCTGTTCTGTAGGATAGCAGAGCTCTTTCCTAAAGACCTGGTTGGATGATATTGGCCCTAAGGACGGCACCTGCAAGAGCAGACTCTGGCTCCTTCCATGTTCATCTTTGGAGGATGAGGGGGATGAAGGGAGGCCTAGGCCAGAGGATGAGCAGAGAGGCTGAGCCTCGGAACTGGGGCCCGGGAGGAAAGGTTTACCCTCTTGATCTTCCCGAGGTAATACAGTCCATCCGTCCAGCGGCACAGCACATACTGGCCCTCCGTCAGCTTGGACATCAGGTCTTTGAAGTTGTTCTTGGCTTTTGCCAGAGCCCCCTTGTTGGGGAGGTGGCTGGTGGCACCATAGGAGTCCCGAGCGCCTGCGTCCAGAGCGCGATTCTCCATCAGCTTCCCCTGACACTGGAAGAGAAAGAGAACAGGGTTTTTACTCCTCACTCCCCTGCTCCAGAAGTCCATCCGGGGAAGGAAGGAGACTACCACTTACGAAACCCGGGCTATGTGCCAGGCACTTCTATTATCTCACTGGAGCCTCATGACAACCCTGCGAGGGAGACATTATTATTCCCATTATACACAGAAACTGAGGCTTGGCAAGGGAAAGTGGCCAGTGGGGCAGAGGCAGAGCTGAGATTCATAACCAGGTGGGCTGATTCTAAACCCCACCTCTCTTTCCCACCCATACCATGCTGCTTTCTAAAGACAACGAACCCCTCAACCATCCACAGAGTGGTCTCCGCACCCAGGGGGCCTGAATCCCAGGCTTAGGACCCTGAAGCTCTCTCCCTTAAGCAAACGGGCTATCTGAGTGGAGGGTCTTCTCCAGGGGAGCAGCGGAAAGTTTTCACTCTCCCCCCTCTCTGCCCCTGCCCTGAGATCTGGCCCAAGGAAAGTCACCTAGGAAGGAAAATTCCTAGCTGGCTTGTGACCCGGTATAGACTGGCCACCTGTGTCTTTTGTAATCCCCCTTTCTGTTCTCAATTATGAGGTGATTTAATGAAAACCAATTCTGGGACATTTAAACTCACTATGCTTCTACTCAGATGCAAATGTGCTCCACACAGTGAAGTCATTGCTGGTCACTCTCTGCACACCTGTCTCTCTCACCATCCTACGACATGTGCCACTGCCCCGATGCTCTCTTCTTTCTGCTAATGGTACCACTGATGGTCCCCAGAACCCGAGCATCTTTAGACTTCTCCAACCAGTGAATTGCCACAGTCGGCCAACTTCAAGCCTAGCGAATACTGGCATCTGGCCCCTCTCTTCCAAGCCCAGTTTGGTTCAGGCCTCTTTTGCTTGGGCCATTCATTCATTCATTCATTCGGTAACTGGTTCGGAAGGCTCACTTCTGCTGGGTACTAGGAAGGGGAATGAGACACCAGCGCCCAGTGCAGGTCACTCCCTGCTTTCCTGTCTCCTACCAGACTCTTCCCCAGGGCCCCCAATTCCCTTTCTTAGGCTCCCTTCCAGAAACCTTCCATGGCTCCCCCATGTCTTCTGCTGGCATTGAAAGCCTTCCCCAAGGCCCCTTCCTCCCCTCTCTGGGCTCACCTGGCTCAGTGCCCTTCCACACACTCCCTGCTGAGCCAAAACACAGCCTTGCACCTCCTACTCTGGTCCCCTCCCCCCGGCCATGGCACCGGCACCTGGTGTTACAATTATTTATAGACAGGGAGAGAATTCTGTGTGTTTTTCTGTGTGAGTGCATGTGCACTCCCGTGAGATTGGGCTTGATGATGTCTGCAGCAGTATGTCAGTGTGTATGTGAAATGAAATACATGCGTGCGCATGTCAGGGGCCATGGGGCAGGCAGGGCACTGTTGGGGTCTTGGCCCCCCAGACGATAGTGTGGCCACGTTCCCCTCCACCCCACACACCCATTCTGCCCTTTTCTGGACGGCAGGCCATTCTGCCCTTTTCTGGACAGCAGGGCAGCGCAGGCATTGGGCAGGGTCAGCGCTCTGAATCCCTGCCTTCTCCCTGCCACCTGGCTCCCAGGCGCTGCGAAGTCCCCGCCCGCCGGGCCTGGGCCCCGGGCCGCGGCAGGTTCACAAACTGACACTTCCTCCCCCCTCGCGCCATTGGGAGCCGGCCCGGTCGCCGCGCCCCCACTGGCCGGGCGGGGGCCCCCGGGTGGCGGCCCCCTCCCCGCGCCTCCATCCTCCCGGGGCGGGCCCCCGCGGGCTGTGATTGGCTGATTCAAACCCATCTGCAAAGAAATGCCTGTTTGCGGGTTCCCGTCGGCGTCCAGTTCAAATCCGCGGCACCCGGAGCGCGGGGCCGGGCGGGGGCAGGAAGCGAGGATGATTCATGCGCCGGGGCCTCTCCCAGGGCAGCCGTTGGCTTTTTAAAAAAGGGTGTTCAGGAGGGGGAAAAAAAAAAAAAAAAAAAAACCTTGCAGAGGTACCCCCTTCGGGTTCAAGCGCTCCTCTCTTCAGTCGCTCCGACGCCAAGCCTCCCCCGTCCCAGTCCTGCTGCAGCCTGACTTCGGACGTGAGCAAAATCCCAAATGCCCCTGTCGGTCTCCACCCCGCCCCACCCCCCTCCCCGAACGCGAAAAGTCAAGATTTGGGGCTAGGGAGCAGCGACCTGTCACCCACGCCCCCCTAAGGCTCGGGGACTCGGGCGGGGCTCCCCGGCCCCGCGGACGCCGCTCGCCCCCGTCACAGCCCCAGGCGCGCGGCTCCCCGGGACCCCAACCCCCCCACCCCGACCCCCGGAGGCGCTCGGCCCGCCGCAGTCCGGGGAGATTTCGAGAAGAGGGACGTGTGCCGGGAGCGAAGCGTGTGGCGGGGAGTCCCCGCTGAGCTTACCGCGAGCCTGCGTGTCGGCCGGTCCCACTTGGAGTCTGGCCACCAGGCGCATCGGCGGCGGAGGCGGCTGCGCGCGGCCCGCGGCTGCCCGGCCGAGTGTCCGCCCGTGGGGCCGGGGTCGGGGTCTCGGCGGGGGCGGGGCGGGGCGGGGGCGCCGCGGGGAAGAGGGGGGGCTAGGGGGGGGGGGGGGGGCCGGGGCGCTCAGGAAGGGGCCCCCCGGGCGCGGGGCGCCATCTTTTTCGCGTTTTCCCGCGAATTATTGACGTCCCGCTTATGTAATTAGCGGGGGCCGCGCCGGCCTCGCCATTGG